TGTTTTTCTCATTGCCTGAATGGGAAACAGATTAAACATTAAGAGCTTAACAAAGAAACACCAGGTGGCATTATATTGCTTGCTTGCTGATACAGTGTTGAAATGGAGATTGTTATGGACTGGGTGTGAACTTAAAAAGAGTATCACATACCCATTAAAAACCAAATAGTAAGAGCTTTAATGAACTCAAATCCCTTCAGAATATTCTAATTACAACATAACAGTCACAATCAAAGTAATTACTTTGTGTACTGTAAAACAAACTTGTTATTTGCAATTTCTTGGCCTGCTCCAAATGGAAAAAGCCGACAGAGAAGTAAACACATGAAACGGCGAAAGAAGAGAACTCTTTCTCCTCTCATGCAGCCGTATTTGTCTCATGGAACCAGAGTGTTGTCATCCTCTTGAGTTCGCAGCTGCTGAGCAGCCCATCTGTTTCTGAAGTGGTTCTGATTGCAAACATTCCTCCCAGAGTGAGAATACGCTGCTGTCACACCGCAATCCACTAACAATCTGTTCAATCTACACCACTGCTGGTGGTTGATAGAAAAGTATCAATGCAACATTACTTCACTTCGACAAGGACGTCGATGGCGACCATGTTACTTCAGGCATCATAAGCAGTCAGCATTTGAAATCAGCAATGTTCAGCTCATTCTGAAACTATGTGCATCATTTCTGACTTAAATTACTCAGGTGTGTTCAAGTAATGCACAACTTGCACCTGGAAATATGCAGACTCAATTCTGTTTAGCCTTTCCAGATGAGGGTTAAAAAAAACATATCAGTGAAGGAGAAATTTTGGCAGATCGTGGTCAAGGATAAACTACCTAACAAACAAATTAGACTGGTTTGACAAATATCAAAAATTAACATATATGTCCTGAGTTTTAAAATTTCTGTGCTATAGATAATGAATAAAATGAATAAAAATTAAGATATGTGGCTTTTTTATGATAATACAACTTAAATGTTTTGACTACATACTTAATGATTAACTGACTCATATTTTACAGTCATAACATAGTAATATGACAAAAACAAATATGAAAACAGAAATAAATTTTAAAAAAAGGTTACTACAGACATTATACATATTTAGTACCATACAACTTTTACTGTCACTCTTCTCTAATCAGTCTTAAAAATTGTGATAAAACCTTTCAAGCTTGCATTGTGTGAATTATTTTCTCAGAAGAGCATTTAAAATGCAAGTGTAACATTTCATCAAGTTATCAGTACAGTACATCACAAAGTAGAAAGAGTAAATTTAATATAAATTTAAACATAATATTAAACCAAACAACAAACACAAGATTTCAAAAACAATAAGGCTATATATAAATATTAGAAAAAAAACAACAACAAATAAAGACAGAAAATTTAGATAAAAGAAGTTACAAACTTAAATGGGATATTGTCAATAGCATCTGCAGTATTTCTAAATGCAACTATTCTAGCATAATTCAGATATTCAAAAGCTAATTCTGACTAAAAGGGATGAGAGCAATTGCAAACAGCTCCAATGCTGGATAGAAACCATTTATCTGCAGTTAAGCTCTGACACACACACATCTAATCTCTGATCAGTGGGAGACATAATTCCTGTTTGAATCACGTTGCATTACAACATATTGCAGGGGAATATGGCTACAAATCAACAAGTGTTTGGCAACAAAATATTCATTTCTGTTTGTCTTAAAGGAATCTCAGTGTCTGATCAATTTACAATAAGCATAAATCTGTGTATTTAACTGTTTTAAGACCTCAGTGAATAAACGCATACATTTTGTTGCTTCTGACTGTTTTGACAAAAGATTTAGGCTACCAAAGTTTCCAACTATAGCCATGCCTCCATCAAATTGTCATGTGCATTTTGAGTGAACCTTTCCATCTACTGTTTTAGAGTGAATCAACCAGTCTATGCACAGCACAGTTGAGTCAAGCATCAATATTTGATTTTCTGACTCCACAAAATGAAGAGGCTGCAAAGTAGCACGGATCACACATTTTTTTAAAAAAATGTGTGATCCATGCCAGCTGGGAGTTAAGACTTTGACATGAGTTTCATGCCTCTAAGGCACATACCCACTCAGGGGCTTTCCACTCAGAGGTTGAGTTAACAAAACATTTTCCCTATTTGATCATTAAAAACAAAACAAACAAAACAAAAAAAAGCGACAGAAAATTTACAAGCCATCCTGAAATCCTCTTTGCTTTCTTGAGGTGGAGGAGGAGTTTGTTGCCTCTAGTAAGGCACAAATCCAGCATTAAATTGGAAAGTTCAGAATTTATTCGAAACAAAGGACTTGCATTTCTCCTGTACAGCACAAACTCTTTTTCAAAAAAGTTAAAAACCACTACAATTAAGCTTAAAAGCTTTTTTGTGAAATCGGCGGGAGTTATTTCAAACATTTTCCATCAACTTTTTCCAATGTTTCATTTTTTTATGAAGCATTCATGATTCCTCTTTCATTGTGGTTCATAAGCCATGTTTCAGTTTTAAAAAATTTATTCGCACTGTAAAGTTTTCCATCAAATTTTTCTAATGCAAAACCTTACAGTGCGATTAAAATGGCTTATAAGTCAAAATGAAAGAGGAACCATGAATGCTTCATAATTTTTATTTTGTCTTTTCTTCTTTAATATAAAAGCTTTTTCACCTCTATGATAGCAAAATTTATTCAGTGCAATTATATAAGCACATCAATGTTGATTAAAGATTAGATTTAATCCATTTTGTATTTAACAAGCAGTAAAACACTCCCCAGCACTGCTACTAATGAGCATATATGCACTACATAATGGCAAATCCATCAGAAATATATTAATGTATCACCACCTACAGCTAGCCATACATTCGTGTAATTTGCATGTCTTTAAGCTTGGTGAAATCGGAGCTCCATAAGGCATCAACATGCACACTCCACAAAGAAAACCAGCGGGTCAGAAAATGACTGCGCTACTCAACCAGACCCGAATAGAGCTAGTGTCTGACAGAGAAAGGGACATACTTCTATTCATGCCAAATGTAATTTGTGGTTTTTAATTCCCCAAAGCCTAAAATCTGAGGTATAGTTTCAAAACCGTAAGGCACAAAGTCAGTGATTTATGTGTTCTTTAAGACATGTGGGAGAGCAGCCAGGTGGATGTCAGAGGTTGACAAAACGATGAGCACATATGCACTACATATGCATTTCAGTCCAGGTCAGTTTTTTATACAAACTGTGGTTATAAGGAATATGACATAGAATTTATTTATTTTTTTCAGTTGTTAAGCACAACTGTTGTAAACAGCACACAAAGCAAAACGTCTAGAAGTGTTTCTAATCTGTGGATTAGAGATCCACAGATTTAAAACTGTTATATCACAAATAATCTGTAGGTTCTGAATGTTTATTCTAAATTGATAACATTAATATTTCTATAAACACCCATTAACATATTTTGAATTATTTCACAAAACTGCCTAATATCTTTCAGCAGAACATAACCTTTAATACAACCAGTTTTTTTTTTTGTTTTTGTTTTTTTTTTAACAAAGTGACCTTTTTATTAATTATTTTCCACAGAGTGCACTTTGGTGGCTCAAATAGTCCTGATTTATTTTCACTGCCAACTTCTTATAGTGGTAAATTTATTTAAAATGGTATATGTCATGTATCAGAATACTAACTGCAAGGTTTTTTTTCCATACTTGACATCCTTCAACAGTCTGAATAAACACATCAAGTTAACAGGTAAATAATTATTTTTGGTTTATGTTTGGTTAGTTTGTATGTGGCAAGCACTTCTGTTTCGTTCATATTTATCTGACATGACCACTGGAGGACCGAAGTAAATGGAGAAGTGAATAAATTAAAGAAATATTTTTATTCAAATTTACATTTTTTAGTGAAAATCTAATCCATTTTATTTTTAGATCCTTAATTTTCTGACTGAATTGCAGCTAAAAGTGGATTATTTTTGGATATATCAGATTTGATGTCCACTGAAGTACACCGAGTTCAGCTGATATTCATAAAATTGAATAGCCAAATGGTACAACTGAATAGTCTTTTGTTAAAGAGCTTTTTGGCTCTGAAATAACTTCCACTTCAGATACAGAGAGAGTTGTCAGCATTGAGCTCAAGGAGGCTTTACAAAATAGATGAAGTGTCTAAGCGTAGGCCTGGGTATGCTGCCAGCTTCCTTAACCATAGACTGGAGCTTTACAAAAAAAAAAACAGAGCTCATCCGCTACCCATCAATCTCTGTGACAAAGAAATTTAAGCAAGCACTGAATTTGGCAAAATCAGTTGAAATCCTCAAAAGCCCTTTTATAACCGGCACAGGGTAATCAGAATTAGAACAAATTATTCATAGGGAAACGCACATGAAATCAATGTCCGACGTCATGTTATTTTTTCAGAGCATTATGAGGGAAGGAAGGCTAAGTTTACTACAACCCCTTCAGCATTAGATTAAATATTCACGAGGACAAATAGCATCCAGTCTGGTCTGCAGCCATGATATGCAATTCATATTGTGCCATCTGCACAGAAATTGGGAATAACAGGCTATAAAAAGTAAATTTTGGCCTGGTGAAAGGCTGACAGGGACAGTGTAAAGCGATAGTAATACGACCTGAATTACAGCCAAGGCGATGTTTATTGCAAATGGTACATAAAAGTCTACATGCTTTTGAGTATGTGAAGAATATGCAGCAATCAGTGCTGTCCAAGAAGCAACAAACAAATCCTGTCTGCTTGGTGAGATCGATAAGGATCAGGGTGTCCAAAGGCCGCCTTGAGGAAATAGCTGCAACCTCTCACTCAATAGTCAGGCTTGACAAAAGCTTTCATCTTCTTGGCTTTAATTTATTTCTAAAGTCACAGTCATATCAATGAAATCATGCAGCAGCAATGTGAGAACATTTGACCTCAGAGGAAAACAAAAGCAGTTGTTTTTGTATGACGTTAATGTCCCCACAAGATTAAAAGTGAAAGGAAAGTCCGTACCTACAAGTGAACGCCTGCGAGTGCGTGAGCTGCCACATCCGGTGCATTCAGAAAACTTGGACCAAGTAGTCAGAGTGCAGTCTTCCTTGCACGCCACCCGGCATTCTCTAATCTGAGAAGGAAAGGGTCCAGCCCATTGCAGGCACTCTGTCATGTTGGCTGGCTCTCCGTCTTCCCCAACACAACTGATTCCTGCAGACACATAGAGAGGAAATAATTCCAATTACATGATAATTGATATTCACACAAACTTTAGTAGGGCTGAGAAGAGAAACTAGTGGAGGTTTTGGGGGTCCATATTTATGTATATGTATATTTCAAATTAACTGATGCATTGCAAACATAATTTTTTTATACATTTCCAAAGGTTCAAAACTATGTAACTATTAGATGTTTTTAAGTTTATGTAAATTTCAAATATACAACTATTTCAAAAACAGTGAGACAACAGAACAAGCTCTACACAAAGTATTATGACGTATAATATATTGTATTATAAAATATATTGTATTATATTAATTATTCCAACACCTGGAGGATGTATGTTTGAACTAACCTTTCAAGTTCTCCAAGTTCTTGAGAACTTTGAAACTTAAGTCTTGATTGGGAGGAACTTTTTGATCCAACTAGAGTTATGGCTTAGCAAGTCGCTAATTATTATTTATTGCAAAGAGGCCCTCCAATTTCTAACACTGCGAGCTAATCTGGCTACTAATATATTGACTAGTGGAAAAATGCAAAAAGTTGGTCAGCAATTTAAAAAGGACTTTGCTTGCTGTAAAGCCAAAAAACAACAATTAATCAAAAATCTGAAAAAGTTTGCGAGGTTAGAAATAACTTTGTATTTCCTCTTCTACATCATATGTTTCTGTCTCATCTCTGATCAGAAACAAATTTCTTGATTACATTAAATAATTTTTAGAAATATACAGAACTCAGAATAAAAATTAATCATGACCACGTTTGTATGGAAGACGATTAAGTCCACTGAAAAAATGTCAGAAATTTGAGTTGAATGCATATGAGAGAGATGTGAGTCATGCAGAAGAACAAACTCTCTGGAAGACCAGGTTGGATTTAAGTAATTTTCTTTTCAAGAACCTAATTAAAGTGAATATCTTGAGGCAAAATTTATATTCTTTCAGAGACTTGAATCTTCTTCTGCACATTTCTATTGGAATATAAACATTTCCCTCGATAAAGACCAACTGATGAGATGATGTGACGCCACATAACTTTTTCTATTAAACAGAAAAAGGGCATTGATTATACATATTTCACTTTGCAAGTAGTAAGATCCAGATGTCTGTCAGTAAATAAGTTCATTCTGACATTGAGAAAGAATGACACTTGCTCAAAAGAGGGAGAGTTCTACAGGAAAATAGAGACCTGTCTCGTGAACATTTGGAATAAAAGAAAAAAAAAAAAAAAACACTGTTGAGGATAACTTATCCCAAAACTTTGATGCCTTAGAGAATTCACTGCACAACCTACAAACTAACAATCTCAAAAGCTGTGTGGTTTGCTGTGGGTGTGTGGGGCGGAAATTTACATAGAAAGCCCAGCAAAGGCGATAATAACCATAATTAAGGTCCATTTATGTAACACTAAAAAACTCAAGACATTTGTTAAAAAAAGGGATGGAAACTGATAGTTGAAGAGGGAGCTTTATTCCTCTTTTTTGTAAAAACTTTATAGGAAAAAAAAAATTCACAAGCTGCAAAGAAGTCGTCCATCTATTATCACTATGACTGCTTTGTCTTCAGTGACATTTATTTTCATCCTTACACCTATTCAACTCCCCCATTCAGCCTCATTCTGTCATTCTCTGTGACTTTTATTGGCATTTCTGTTCTGACTTTCTGACTTCCAACTGTTGACTAGCCAATTTAAGAATAATTATTTCTCTCTGTTACATAAGTTCATTTGTGTGGCTTTTCAGAGAAAACGCTCAGAAATTGTGATACTCTTGCCATAATTTTTTTCACCAATGGCAAGGATAATCTTTTACTATAGACTACTAGGTAAAGGTAAGCATCTCTGATAATCACTCAAAGGAAATATTTGACCAAATCTTGTCAGTATCTTTGTGGTGTGATTGTGGAGAACACATAAAAAGGTATTCTTTAAAGATCATAGCTAGGTTTCAACCAAAGATTCATTTCCTAATATTACTTGTAATAGCAGATTTTTAATATTCACATTCTCACCATCAAGCATAATTTCCATTTTAATTCTGTGTGAAATGTTCTTCATAAAGTACTGTGAAGAGTAATATAGACCAGAATCATCAGAGCCATTAAGCCACATCTTTCCTGCACATCAGCAAAACTCATTTTCCACTGAATAATCTTTTCCTGGAGCTCCAGTTCAACTAGGAGAGGTTCATAATACATGCTGCCAGATCTGAGTTGAATTGTGACAATATATTGAATTTAATGGAAGACTGAACTCTGCATAGTTGTTTGTTGTTTGATGAAGATGTTCTTCAATTGCTTGTCATCTTCCAGATGATTAACATTGGCCATAAAAAGCAAACATTCTTTTCAATGACGAGAGGAATTCAAGCTCTATTTGGTTTTTCACATTATAATGTGTTTTATGATGGTTTTATTGTTCAGTGGAATCAAAGGTCTTCATTATTTAGAAAAGAATAATAGAAAAAAACATGGGAACACTGATGCATCCTATATGTATATGGTCTTTGGGAAACATAAACAAAAACAACATTAAAATATTGTTAAGGGTTTTAATCTGAACTTTTTATAAATGCGCTGGTTAATCCATTATGTTTCATTATGAATTTAGTAGTAAAGTCTCCTTCATATCAGATTAGGATTCGTTTCCGTTTCCAAGATTTCTAAGAGTTTCCAAATAAAGTTGGACTATGACATATTTTAAATACCTAATATCATAAAGCTATCCTTAAATCTTGATGTCAATGCGATCACAGTACCTATATCGCAACACATTTTATTTACGTTTTGCTAAATTTTCTTTTAAACACAGAAAATAACATAAATGAGCTTTACAAGCTGTTGAATCATGTTTTTGTTTGTTTTGCTTTGTTTGTCAGAGTGTTCCTCTTTAAAATGACTTTCTACAAGGTTTACATAGTTAATGTAATGTCAAGTGAAAATTAAAAACTTGGTGTTTAAGCATCTTTCTAAGAAAACAGGAAAGAAGCTTCCACATTGTGGGGTCAATAAAACCCATTTACACTATTCTATTCCAATTATTTTAACGTAGAAGACATTGGGACCCAAATACACTTTCCTGTACTTGGTCTTCCAAGCCAAGTTGAGCCATTAGGGCTGGAAGGTTTGACTATGTGGCCTCCAAACTAACAGCCTGCAAGGGGAACTGGGCAGTCAGCATCAGCTCATTAACACTGTTTCTGCTCTTCTGGAGACGGATGACAGCAGCCTTATGTTAGGATTTTTTTCTACCCCTTGGACAGTGTTGTGAGTTGCACTGTAATTGCAAAATCATCCCTTAGATTAGGTTAGATTTTACATTTTAGCAAGATAATAGCTAAGAACACCAAAACAAAATAACACACAGCCTAGCCTGAGGAATACACTAAAGTACTGGTGTGACTTGAGATTTTGTTAACATTGAACATTAAGGCAGTGTGAAATCTTTTGGGAAGATTTGCAGTGAACCAAATCCTTTCTCTAACTTGTTGAGTTTGATTGATCTGCCTGAAACAAGTAAGAAAAAAAAAGTGCCCCGCTTGTAGACTAACATCTAAAAAGGCTTGAGGCTGACAGTACAGCTGAACATGCTCAGTGCAGGTTTCCACACACTCCAACTGTATAGTACAAAAACCTTCAGTTTAATCTACAGTTGACGTTACGCTCTACAGCTCCAAATGAAAGGCTGGCATTGATACTTGACCTTGTTTTGAATGGAGTAAACTTCCTGCAAGAAGGAATGGCTGATGCAATTGTTTACTGGAGGAGGAATGCATGAGAATTATACCATATTTTACAGAATAAAATAAGCTTGCATGTCTTTTTATGCAAAAAGTAGCCACTTTATTAGGTACACTGTCACTCCGAATGTCAACTATAACTGGAAACTGATGCTCTAATTTTTACAGGGTCAATAACAGATTTGGAAAGTCTTTTCCAAATCTTCTTTTCAAGGAGTTTTCTTGAATATACTGTGTGTTGATTTCAAGTCAACATGCACTAAAATCTGATAATTTTACTGCAATCATGAAGACTTTAAAAAATTATGAATATTAAAAGGGGTCCAAACCAGAATTGGCAAGGTGTACCTTATGGTTCATTAGTTTTTATGGCTCCTTTACCAATAATCAATCTCTATATCCATGATATGTATATTATTTTTTCGAACATTTTGTTTCCAACCATCTTTGCTACATAAACCATGAATTAGATGCTATGTTGTGGTTGAAATATGTGAACACATATTTCTTAAATAGTAGTAGATTTTTATGGGTGTCAGTAACTGGCGGTTTCTTTTCAACATCTTGCAGCGCGAGAATAAAGTAGTAGCAGAGCTTTCATGAAACAAAGATTTGTGCTCTGAAAGCTTTTGTGGCTTCTTGAAAACAGAGTTGCTACTCAGGCGATTTATGCGACTATCCTTTCAAGTTTTATTACTACTATATATTTATTACAAGTTCAAATTTTAGCTATTTGGAGGAGGAAGTGCTTCACAAAGACTGACATAATCTGTTTTCCACCTGATAAAAAAAAATTGCAGTTTTATATATCTTAGTAGAACATTAGTCTATATAGGGTAGAACATTTCTGAATCAATTTTATGGCTTTCTTTCCCTGTGATCCCTCTCAAAGACTGCCTTTTTTCATTTATGCTGGGGGAAAGGTAGAAGACTGTTAAATTTATACTGCAAATAAAGTCGTCTTTTTGCTACAACTATGAGAATATGGAGCTTTACGTTGCTTTGTTTTACCTGTAGCAACTCTATTTTTTAAATATTCTTTCCCACAGCTGGGATTTTACTATCCTTAGGAACTATTCAAGGATGAGAAGTTGCTTTTATGGTTGCAATTAGATATGAATGGTACTTTATCAAGGATGCCAATCTCTATTCATACAACATCCTGGTGGGTTTCCCCCCCTGGAGATAGCGCGCTAACGCTTGGCTTATTTTGACAAAATAACCATAAAAGATATTGAACGTTGTCATCAAACTATGTTAGGCATAAATACTTTGTGTTGCAAAAGTATTCTATTTTTTTTTCAATTCGTCATGCAAAGAAAAATCAATATGTGTACACCCTAATCAGAAAGAGAAGTGAAAGGAAATATTGTACAGTACAATGTCGCATACGTTTGTATTTGTGCCCTTGCATTGTGTGCAAATATACACACTTTATAGAGACACCAAGAAATCTGAGCTGTTAACTATGCATAATTTTAAATCTTTTTTTTCACACTAGAGATCTGTTAGTTTCATATATCTTTATATGTTTGTAGTTCTCACACACTACAAACATTAATAAATATCCACACAATAAATACAATCAAAGATGAACAAAAGTACAGAGTGCTACCTACATAACGTAATATTTTCAAATACAGAGGTTAGTGCATGGTATTTAAAGGTCTGTGGATAAATGAAGAATTTTAGTTTTAAGTTCTGAAGTCTTAAATATGCCCTTGTCAATTGTTTCCTTCCTCTCCTCTTGCCTGGTCCTTTTCCCAATTATTATGCCCTAATTATGTATCAGTCTGACATTTATGTATCCTTGCCCCGTGGATTGGTTCTGCCACCCAAGGAGCAAATATAACTCAAAGTTTTTTGTTATTCATAAGTCTATATTTAAATTCCATGTTTCTACTAATTACAATTTTTCATCTCACACTTCAGGTTTGTTTGAAATGTCACAGGTATTTAACTTAGCCATTTTCTAATCACATTCGAATAGGATGCTCCAAAGGTCAATGAGGCTTGCTCTTAACCTGGAGACGCCACAAACACTTTCACTGTGCTCGTTAAAATTTCACTTCAGAAATGTCAGTCATAATTACAAAGAGAATTGCTCAAGTCCTCGTGACGACGCCGAGCAAGGCCGCACACTTCGTTGAATCACACACATTTAAACAGAACAACCTTCTGCAAATGTATTACTGGACGTTTGCTGGAAACACTGAAGGTTCACAGTCATGTTAATATAGGTAAAAATATTATATAATATAGAAATGCTGCTTGCTTGCCATTTTTTATGCAAAATACTTTTTGAACAAATTTTTCACAGTTGATATTCCACTTTCTTCCTGATGTCTGTTTATGCCTGGAAATTAAATCTCTCCTTACAATATTCTGATGTTGTTTTATATAGCATGGATATGCAGAATAAAAAACTACAAATTTCATATATGAAATGTTATTATTTGAAGATGATCCAATCAACCTCCATTACTAAATGGCAAAATATTTACTCAAGCTCCTGCAACATAACAAGGGAGTGCTGAAAGTGTACCTTATAAGCAGAAAACATTAGGAAGCCTTTGCTGTGTTATAAAAAACCCCAATTCAAAAAAGTTGTCTTCATAAATTCCGCATCACCTGTTCAAGAAGCCCAACGAAAACAGATATTTGATCTTTTTCAAACACAGACAGTTTAAGGGTGAGCAGCAGCTGTGTGGAGAACAGAATGTGTGGAAAAGACAATAGGTCAGGGTTAATCCTTGCCTCTCGTTTCTAAACCATTTCCACAGGTTTCTCCAGATCCCGATAATCCTCGTCTAACTGAATCAGGCACCAGGGTACAACTGTGCCACTTGTGCATCCTCCACCTAGATAGGGTGACAAACACAAAGGTTTTATTTGGTAAAGGAGGAAAGCTGTTTCATATCATAATGTCATAACTTCTTATACTCAGTTTGTAAATTGATGCAACTTTGAAGAAGCATCATTCATCTTGTAGAGATTAACAAGAACATTATTACTGCTTTTAAATTTGTCTTGTCTGCATATTCTCTGTTTAACAGAAAATGTTTACATGATGCTTTTTGCTATGTTTATGTTGCAATATGACCCGTTAAAATGACTGCTATACCAAATAGGCTACGTCTGAGCATTTTATACATATTGGTGATCCAACAATATCAAACAAACACAAATAAATTCTGAATTTTTAAACCAAATAACTAATTTGCATGTATATTGTGAAGGACCGTGCAACATTGTAGAATAATTAGCATTCTAAATAGGCAGATAAACAATGAGAACCAATTGTGAATAATTGTTTCTCTTGATGTTTTATTTCTCATATTTAGATTAGTAGGTTGTAAATTATAAACGCTCTAAATTAAATAACAATAAACGAGATTCATAGTTTAATGATTGGAGTCATAAAACTCCTTTTAACGACTGTTTCCCAAACTGTTTATCTCATGTTTAATTTTCATGATAAATCTGATTCAGTAAGGTGATACAGTCATTAATTCCCAATACTAACAGCACTAAACCTTTTTAGATCACTTATATATCTTTTTCTAATTGAAACAGCTCAAAAGTTTAAACCAAAAGCTATCTATGTCAGCTATCTGTTAGCTAGCTAACAGATAGCTAAGGTGCAAGGTGACTTTTCTTCAATTATAAAGACCTCAACTAACATAAACAAAATAGTTGCAAATTTTGTTTATTGGTTCTATGTCTATTTCTTTTTTCACCAAACAATATCAGTAGCTAGCCTAATTATATAACTGCAGCAGGATTTTGACATTAATTAACTAAGACTGGCAGTTGAGCTTATCTAATCCAAAAACAGCAACAACGGCAGAGTGAAAATGATTGATTGTGAAAGTGAAGCTGAAATGCATTTTTCTGTGGAAACGAGAGGACATCTGTTAGAGGCAGATATCCTCGACTAAAGGCCCTGTTTAACGTAGCTGCTTGCTTGACTCCCCCATGAGTCAGCGTACCTGATTCTACAGAGAAGGATTGGTCAAAACCCCCCTTTTAGTTTTTTATGGGGATATTTGATGACTATTTAAGTATCCTTACGATAGTGTGTGAGCTGTACGTCTAACAGCCAATCATCAGTCTATCCACCCTAAACTTAGACATGAAGTCATTCAGTTTTACCTAATCAGAGACCTGAGAAAGAAAAGTGTCGCCTTTTTAGAATGCACCAATGAGTATATAGTGTAATTTATAAGATTGCTTTCCTGCATGTTGGATCAAAGTCAGATTCATCCATGTTTCTACGCCATATGATCAAAGACCTTATGGCTTCATCATCTGTGACCTTACAGATAATGTCATCAGTCTGGATATCATAGCTGAGACAGCAGGCATTGGTGCTCACTGAAATATGGATAAATTGAATCCTAGGTTTTCTTTTTTTTAATGGAGCCACCTAAAATGACAAACTAAAATATATGCCTTTATTCAACAGGCAACTTACTTGGATTATCTAATTCACTAACAAAATGTAGCTAATGAATATTTTAAATAATCTAACTAAATTATTGATCATGTTGTTGCCCTTAACACGTTCCACAATGCATTACAAACTTGGTGAGTTACTTTAAGTCTTGCTGATAAGAAAAGTGAAAATATTTAACTATAAATTTAGTTTTTACCTAAACACCGGACATACACGAACTGAGTCACACTCCCTTCCTTCGTACAGTGTGTCAGGGCACTCTTGACCTCCATTAGCAGGCGTCTGAATGATGATTCTGTACCGAGATTGCATTGCAGCAGTTGAATTATCTGTTCAACACGAAACACAAATTTCACAAAAAGTATCTTCTTACAATGCAGTACACAAAAAGTCTAAACAAGTAAATGAAGGAGACCCTTGCAAAGGACAGTGAATTTAAAATGATGAGAGCACAAGTTTCTTATAAATGTCTCTAACAAAGATCAGGCATTATCAGGGCAGTCTGACATCTCAAAGAGACAGCCAAAGAAACAAGTGCTCTTGAAATTGATCTGACTGATTAGCATGCCCTTGATGCCCGTGATGTCCTACACTTCCATGCAGTCTGTTTTCGGACACACCACAATGTAATGGCTTCATTTGGCTCGGGCTCCAAGGCTCATTACACAAAACTAATTACAAAACATTAAAAAGGCGACAATTAAGAAAGTGATTTCATCGTCAGCATGCCTAGTGGACTACAGCATATTTACAGCGATGCTATCCCTGCTCACTTCTTCAAAAAACAATTAGATATTTTTTGCTTTCCAAGATACTACAGTACACCTACGGAAAAACCATTAAATACTCATTTTCCTCTTGATGTGTCAACTTAATGGAATAAACATGTAAGGGTGTCACATGTAATTAAGTGTAATTATTAAGCACACTGGACCAGAGTGATGTGCCAGTTCACTGCTATTTATTAATGATTATTTCCGCATCAGATGAATATTATTTTACAAAGTGTTGTCAGTCTTATAGGTAAACAACATAATCCTTCATGCAAAGACATACCTGGGAGACAAGATGCTGGACACGCTGTCCATTCGCTGAAGGGCGTCACTACACAGTCCTTCTTGCAAGGAAACAAACAGGGCCGGGTAGTTTCTGGGCGAGAAGACTCTAAACACCTGTGGACAAAAAGTGTCTTTAAATTGACCTTATCCCAATGAACAACGCACAGCTTGGTTTTCATTGGTAAGAAAGCAATATGGTGGACCAGCTGTTCTGTGCCTTGCAGATTTTCCTAATAAATGATGCCGTTCATGTATGCGAATTATAAACACACACACACACACACCCACACACCCACACACACACACACACACACACACACACCCACGCACACACGCACACACACGCACACACACATACACGCACACACACGCATATATGTGTTGCTTTCCATCCATTGCCAAGTTCCTGCGGTAGAACAATTCCATTAGCAAAATGAAACCTGGAGATTATTATTCATTTAGATCATCTTTGTGCGGAGAACTGGAAAAGGCACACAGCAGAGCTAACTGTATTGAGCATAAGGCTTCCGAAACCCATTTCAAATAGCTGATGATCTGTGGACTGACAGTAGTCAGAAACAACCGCCAGTTCAGCATGTGGACATTTACAATTATCTCATTAACATAGGTGCCGATTCTGGATTCTCCAGAACCCACATGCACCAGCTAAACCAGTTTCTCTACACAGGGTCAAATAGAGCCATCTATCCATCTATCACATGCTACACACAGACTTGTTGACGTGGTAACCGAATGACAACACCTCCGCTAACCTAGAAAGCTGAGGTTACATTTGAGTGTATGCATGCAACATTTCCAACACAAAAACACAGAACGTTCAGGTTGTTACAGTCAATTTTTATTTTGCAATTATTGATAAATGATCAGCAAAGGTTGATCAGCTAAACAATTGCACTATTAATCTGTCAGAAAGTGTGTGTGCGTGTGCGGCCTTATTTTATTTCTTTTTTTTTTTTGTGACTGAGCAAAACTGCACAGCACATCTTAACATCTATATGTTAATGTAGCATCACTGACCTATTTTCTCTGGCTATTGTTTATATAAAAATATTTTACTGACCAGTAAAATGTCATACCTTGCTATCTAGTTGTCATAGTGGTGACAATTAATAATTTATCCATCTATTTATCCTTTCTAAATCATGCATAGATTTAAGATTTAGTACGCTTTATTGACAGCTAAAAACAATATCATCAACTTTTCTGCTGCCCAGCAGGAAGCTGGGTGGGGGAATCTTGTCTGTGTGATGTCACATTTCAACATGTCTACATAGCCATGTTTAGACAGGGGTTTAATATTAGACATTTAATATCAGCATGTATCATATTTTGAAATTAACACATTTACTCTGAATGTCCCAATTGCACAAACAGATGTTAGTTTCTTTGTAAAGCTGCAGTAGATCTTCCTTGGAATTAGGCCGATCTGTAATTGTGCATCAATTTGAAGTATAAACTCTAACCTTTCAAAATATTTTTTTCTTCCTCTTCCTGTACTCAGAACTCGGATTCCAACTGTATTCTACAACCTGCTTCTCCTGGTGTCCTTGTTATTCATGCAAATCCTGAAAAATGTCAGAGAACTCAGTGTTGAAGTAGCAATGAATTTGCTATAAGAGGTAAAGAGATATTCAGTGAAAGCCCAGTGACACCTCACCTTATGCAAATCTTCATCTACTGCAGCTTTACCAAGAAAAACTAAGCAACTTCACTGAATTACACTGTTAACACAAGATCAGTGAAAACAAAGGGAAAGCATATCCACCAGTAATTGGACTGCCTCAACTTTGAACTAATAACATTTGTCACTAATGAATTGTACTGCTAATTAGAGGACCAAGATAAGTATTACACATATTTATTATGTGAAATTTCCTAATTGTTTTTGAGATCCACAACCACTGCCTCCACAATCTGATGAGGCACAGTGTAGAAGGAGTAAGTAGCAGCTCTCAGCAACATTTTTTTTCTAAAAATAAACTTTGCTCCACCTGTGTCAAAGATAAGAAACCAGATAACGGCCAGCTGCCAGAAGTGTGCAACTCCAATAACAAGAAAAGCTAAATTAGCATTTTGCTGGAGTGTAATCTAGGGAGAAAAGGTTAAAACAAGGGTGCTAATTAAATTGGAGAAAATGTTTCAACATGAAAATTGCTTAACAGTTCATCATCTCTGACATGTTAAAGGAACTGTTAAATTTTTTTAGTGCCTTCAAACTCTTTCTCTAAAATAAAAAAGAATCTTTTAATGTTGTTTAGGCACATTTGTTTCTTCTGTGACACCTTTAACACCCCATAGACTGTGTTGTATTCTCTGAGTTGCAGAGCTTTGACATGATTGGGATTAAAACATTCTGCAAAATAAAATAATTCATAAGCTTTAATGTTTTGATCGACCAACAGGCAAACCCGTCCTCCTTGTCTCGCAGAGGCATGCATAGATCTCCAAATTTCATTTCGGATTGAGTGACTCCTTTTCCCCCCAACAACTAGAAATCCAGGATTCACTGGAGGCCCAGCATGGTGCCACATCCCTCCGACTGCAGAAGCCAGCATGGAGAGGAATGAGATCAAAGTATACCAAAGCATGAGAAGGCAGGATATATAAAACCTTCTTCTTCCCTTGCTTTATCCCCTCTCTTCTCTCTGCCTTTTTGCACTGGTGCATGCCAGAGGCCATGGCAATGCAACAAAGCAGCTGGGGGAATATTGTGGGATTTGCTGAAAATGAGGATGTCAGACGTACAGTTAAGGCAATGAGGTTCAGCTATGACAACAGTGTGAGGATTGAAGGTCTTATAGATATTTCTGAAAATGCCTTAAAGAGTGCAGTCAAAGACCAAATTCATTGCTGCCATGGTCAAAGGTAATCTATACAATAAAGATGAATACTCTTTATAGTAAAACATACCACATTTTCCATAATTATTGAATTAATTTCAATTCTCAGAATGTCTGTGGATATTGATTTTCAACAGTATACAGAAAACTACACTGAAATTGGCCTTTGTAGGATGGGCTCTGAATTAAAAGTGTCACTTTGAAGTGGGATTACTGTAAATATTTTTACCTTGTGGAATATGCATTTTGTTTCTGTCATTTCCTGGTTCATCCTATTCTGCAGCCCCTTTTTGTGTTTGTAGATTTATAATAAAGCACATTATCTCTGTAAATTTCTTTGAAAACAACATTTAGACACAGTCACCACACTGAATATCACAAGATTTTACAGAGTTTGTATTTAAACACACTGACCCACCAACATTAGTGGGATTATTTAATTAAAGTATGTGTCCTCTTTCAGTGTCTCCAAGGATAAAAAGCGAAAAATGCTTTCATCAAAACTTTTCTAAGAGATTTTAATTGGCAAAGTTGGAATATTTGTCAATGTTTATGTCCTGAGAAACATGAAAAAGCCATCACAACTGCCCAGGGTTTTTGATCATTCACAGATTTCCAGTCTGAATGGAGCAGAAACGCTGCTGGCTGCTGCTTCTGCTGCTGCAGCCGCTGCCACAGAATTCCTCTGCCTCCTTACTACTCCCATGACACACATCTTGCCGACATTAAAGATTTTTGTAGAATATCAAGCAGATTTTAATTTAGTTTTAGAGTTTGGATGCTGTTAAATTATAATAAATAATTGCGTTAGATAGCTTACTCTCATTCTGTTTAGAGCTCTCATTTTTTCCCCTTTCATTCTAAGAATTGTGATTGCTGCAGTTCATGTAAAATTCACTCCATCTGTGCGATTCCCTCACAGTACAGTTTGGAGAGGCTTTTAAACCACAATGACTACGAAACAATTTGAGATTAATACTGTATTAGTCTGATTTCAGTTTCAAATCACATTCTGTATTCTGATTAGAGGTCCTTCCTTGTCTCCTACATGGCTTGTGGCAATCTTTAGGAAAGACTTTTTATTGCTTTCTTTCAGAGGCATTTTGGTCTTACCTTTTCCATAAAGACATGACGTGTGGAACATGAAAATAATATTTATCCTTTCAACAAAATTTCCACCTGAGTGGTTGATTCTGCATCTCAACTAGAATTACCATGTACCTCGTGGCGGCTTTTGTGACTAGTGCTTTTCTTGCATGGCCTGTACATTTAGCAGGTTTACAATTACACCAAAGTCTTTCCAATTTTTGATGATAGACTAACTGCTCCCTGAGATCTTCAATGCATTGGATATTGCTTTATACTCCAACCCTGCTTAGCACTGACTGTGATTTTCTCTTGACTTGGTCCTCATGGTTTTGTTTATGTACTAACATTCTCTAAGCAAACCTCTGAGACCTTCACAGAACAGGTCTCACCTTTCACACCAACAAGTACTATATCATTAAATACTGTACACCGATGTCACACAAACGGTTTGCTCACAAGCTAGGTGTCTTTTAGATGTACTGGTTGCACTGGATTTCTTTTAAAGGATTGAAGAGTAAAGAGGGTTGAATAGGAATTCATACTTCAGGTTTTTGATGGTAATAATTGGAAGCCATGTGTCATTTTACTTATATTTTACTATTTTGTTATGGTATGCATTGTTCTATTACTTGTAAATGCTTGGAGTTTGCAATTTTGAGGACAGATTGTGACAAAATTATGTGTTTAAATTATTAATCAGAACATGCAGTGTGTTATTTGTCATACATACTGCCCTTGTCAGAAAGTATCGGCTATTTTGAACGTAGTATTTGAGCAAAGTGTTGAAATATTGAATAGATTTCAGTGGTGTGTTACTATAGATGCTATTCTCGAGATGTGGAAAAAGGGAACAGAAATAAAACTGAAAATCAATCAAACTTTTTTCCTGCAGGCTCTGGGCTGATACCAAGGAAAACCCACTAAGCTTTTGGTAGAGCCACAGATCCCTGCAGAGATTATTGCCCACCATGAAATGCTTAGGTGCGTTGCTGACTGAAGGAACCTATTTTTCAAAAAGAACATTGGTTTTTGTTTTGAAATTTCTGTTCAAAAATGTTGAAAACATTTTCAGTTGAACGTTTGATAGTAAGTAGAAAAACAATATCCTCTGATAATGGTTGTATATCCCTAAGAGTAAAAGTGCCTCTTTTAATAAGTAAGTGAAAGCTTAAACTCACACGTTACTGACAGACACAATCATTACCGATGAATAGCAACATGCAGGTCGAAGTTTTAGGTGGTGTTCCAATAAATGAACACTTTGCAGGGATAGGAAAGAGGCAAAGTGATTAAATTCACAGCACACTGTACGAGCGAGATCTGTTGGAGGAGCAGAAATGACAGCTTTCATTAAAGCTTTTGTGGTGGCAGACAGGACGGGCATGACAAAAAAGCCTCTACATAATCCATTTTATGGCCCTGTCAATATTATGTTGAGCTAAAGAAGGGCAAACTTTGTGAATTATTTATAAATCTGTCTTTCTGGTGCGGGCTTTAACATCATTAAAGTGACAGCACAAAAGCCCTTAGCAGTGTTTGATATTGTATTGCTGAAAGAGAAGGATAATGGGGGAGCAGATACAAGATGAATATACATATAAATATATATAAAAGAATAGCAAAAACACAGAGTGAAAGTATAAAGGAAGAGAGACACTTCACAAAACTCTTGGGATGTGAATTCACAGAGCATCTGTCCTCTGAGTCATCTTTAAATATCTATACGATACTTAAGTTCAAATGTGTTTTTTGTGTTTTTTTTTTTTTTTTTTCGGGGTTTGGGGGGGTAGAACTTGTACTTCTTATCCAGTAATTACTGACAAAAAAAACAAACTCCTATATCTCGCTGAAAATGACTTGCAAGTTAGTTTGTTGTACTTCAAGTGTACTGAGAGATTCACACTAGAAACTAGACCAAAACACTGTGGTAAGTTTTAGTGTTTTTGTAGTAAAATGCTTTAAAAATGTCCTGATGACAACAAATTTACCCTGTGGCGGAGAGCATACCTCTTACTTATGACTGGACCAGCATTCATCCTCATGCAGCTGATGTTACGGCTCTGAACACCAACAGGGCAGGCGGACGTCTCATTCCTGTAGCTACTTTCGTTGATTTTCGAAGACGCGTCCTCAGTACAGGGTCCCCATTCTGAGGCTTCCCAGTAAAATACATTGCAAGGATGGTCATTGCAGACTCGCCATTCCTCGAGGACCGGGGCTGCTGGGCATGTTTTACCATCTGGAGGTGAACACAAGAAAACATAAAACAAAAACATGTGACAATGTAGCTTTTCAAAAAGTGCAGATTAATCCGCTGTCTTGAGACGCAAACCAACAGTTCTTTCTTGATTTTGCTCAAAGCGGTTTAGCTGGCAGTCATATATCTGCTGCATCTGTCCACAACACTTATGAAACTTGAAATTTCCACCAACAGCCAATATATCTTTCAACTAATCACCTAAATTTCAGAGGGCTTTTGAGCAAAGATGAAGTAGACCAGAGTCAATAAAAAAAAACACCCAACTGCCTTCTTCCATATCAGATAAATATTCAAGTTTTCAAAACCTGCTGTGAAGTGTCTTAGCACTTTGAGAAAACATTTCACACTACAACTGCTTAGAGGCAGCCAGATGCTGCTTATCACTGGGTTAACTTATGCTCAAAGAAGATGAATCAATCACCTTTATGCAGCACTGGTTTTGACAGTTTGAGGGTCTGATGCTTTCAGGTGTGTGTAACACAATCCTAAGAATGAACTACATTAAGGCATACATTGCTAAAAGAAGCAAATGCGAGCTGTTACAGTTTGTACACAGTTTTACAAAATACCCAATGAAATAAGACCAAAGTAGACATAATTCACAGCACCTAGTTCAATAAAGACTAAGAAGGAAATACAATGTATTGTGTTTTGCGTAAGTTATTGGTTCATTTCTTCCCTTTTTCCAAAATTACCAGAGGCTATTTCCAGTCATTTTCAAGCACAATTTGTTTTACTCAAACAGTTTTCATTTTGGAGAATAGATAATAATGACTTATTGCAGTGATCTACACATCCAAAACTGTACATAAATATGAGTGAGTTTCCCTCTAAATGCATATGAAATTTGTGTCAGATCAAAGAGGCAAGTTTGGTTTGAGCAATTTTTGGAGCAGAATATTATCAAAATAAAGAAAACTGCAGTCAGTGAGTTGACAATAAACTTCTCTGTAAACCCAATTACTCTGCATTCAAATACAAGGTTATTTTTGACAGATGTCACATGATCAAAATGAGTCATCTATCATGACAACGACCCCAAAAACTCCTGAAAATGTCACCACTTAATAATTTTCAGATAACAGTAAAACGATAAATGTCCACTAATCTCAATAAACTGAAGCAGCTTGGTAAACAATGATGCAAATAATGATGAAAATTGATGCAATTCAAAGTCAAAGGCAACCCTGATGCTGACATGTACCAAAGTTGGCTATAAAGGCAAAATAATCAAAAAGTGATTCAAAATTCCAACTTTCACTTACTTTTCAGAGATAGTACTGAGTCTAATGTCTCATGCTGTTAGTGGGAGTTTCTGATTACAAGAGCTCCTCAATCTGAATGGAATCAAATGATAAAAGCCCAACTGATGTGCTATATGTGTTAACTGGAGAATATTGAGGACCACAGCAAACACATACATGACTTTTTCACTGAACTACAACCAAAGAGATACTTGTAGTTTCTGATCTACTTTGCATTCCACAGCTGTACTGTGGTTTCACACAAACGTGCTCTCTCACAGCCTCCTCTGCCAGCCAACAGATATCCAGAAATTGGGTTTAAGCTGCAAGATGTTTTCATCAGCTGTTATTGCTGATATGTGTTTAGTTACAGGGATTAATGGGCAGCAGCCGCCTGCCAAGGCAGCCAAGGCTGTCTGACTTGAAAACATGAAGTATACAGAGAAACACTTGCCAGAGGAACAGCTCCTGATAATGGATGATCTGCTCAAACCTCAAATGTTTTCTGAAATGAAAATTGTCTATATAACACTCTTAAATCTGAGGAACCAGGAGAAAGGTGGTGAAAACTGTCAGGTTCTGTGTCATTACTAAACAAAAAACTTAAACTGGTTGAAAAGTAAAATGTGTGGAAGAAATATGCATTCCCCACATATGGAGAAGAGTACAAGCAATCAGAGGGATTCTCAGGTTACCTTTTCCTGGGATGGCTAATACTGTGCGACTGCGGCTCTGCTTGCCCTCTCCGGTCTTTGTAGCGCAGCTGTGTGAGCAGGAAGACCAGGAGGACCAGGAATCCACCACACAGTCTGCAGAACAGGCCACATCACAGGCCTCCTCAGTGGGTGGAGGGTCATCGACACAGTGGGTGTCAGGCACATCACCTCCTAAACATGGCATAGTAACACAGCTGAAATGAAAATGTTGGAATTGTGATTGAGTTATGAGCTATGTGCAATAACTGGCTTTCATTTTACTAAGGCAATAAAGGGAGAAAAAAGGTAATTTTTAGTTTTTATTTTATTTGAGTTGACAAAACAGATATAACGACAACCATGTGATACCAAACTGAATGGTAGACTGTCATTCTAAAACACAGTTCCTTTTTACTAGATGTAATAAACTGTGACAATAAATCAGTTTGTGTCCAGGTGTGGGTGTGCATACAAAAATAAAACTGAGCAACTATTAAAGTTACACAAACTCAGCTTTTACTTTTCAACATCAGCAATATTATTGCCTTCACTAATCTGAAAAATGCCCAATACTTATACACTTGATAAAGCAGAACAGGTAAACTAATCTTCCTCTGTTTTCTCTCTTAATTTCTTTTGCCATTTAGAGTTCCAATATATCCAACAAATCATGGGCACCACTGATAAGAAATATGTAATATATGATGCAAATATGTCTGTACTTGCTCAATAATAATGTCACTTAACCTTTACATTTGGCTTATTTTTCTTTAGTCTGTATTCATATCCATATAAATGCTGTTATTTATGAAACCTTTGGCTTCATCTTAGAATCTATCACTTTTTACAGCTTCAATTATTATATTCCTATAAATGTATTTTCTTTTCCATAAACCAACTTGATTCTTTTGTGTGACTGCATGTGTGTGAACTAAAAACTGAGTAATGGAAAACAGTGGACAGGGTCTCCAGGGGTAATCCTGGAGAGAAGGGGTCTCTGAGCTGCATCTCCAAGCCATGGCCTTTAGTGTGCACTGGAATGGATCACAGCCAAGTGGAAAAAGGCCAGGATAAGAGTCAGCTCCTCCAGGTCTGACGCTACGCTTCTCAACCAAAGAAGCAATCAATAAGTATAATATATCACTTGACGAACATAATACTGACAGCTAAACACGGCAGTGGCAGCAAAATGGTAGGGGCTGTTTTGCTGATTCAGGACTTAAAAGTCGTGATGGGATCAAATGTACAGCCTGCCACTGGTATAAACTCATGGTATTTTTGTCTGATGATAAAATTTGCATGACGGCCTGAAAGATTTCAGAATGACAAGTAAAAACCGGAGAAATCTGGTTTCTCCGGATGAGAGTAATGAGTGATGAGAAACACCAGCCTAACTCACTTCTGAATCAATATTTCAGCATGAATCTTTTTAGTGTTCATTGTTGGGAGTCAGATTTGTTCACATGCTGTTTTTGCTTTATTTTAAAACAACTGTTTTCAAAATCATGAAATGTAATTGTCTCTGTTACAACAAAAATGACATCGACAGAGCTCCTTTCAAAGGTCTTGGTAAAACACAGAAAGAATATAGTTGGATCGAAAACAATAGTCTGTTGTGTTAAGTTTCTTTTTTGGTAATACGAGACAGTTTTTTTAAGTCATCTCTCAGTTTTCAACTTGCAGGCATGTAGTGAAATATGTAAACCTATTAAAAAAGTCAAGCAAATAACTATTGACTCGAAATAAACAACATTTATTTTGAGTCAATTATTATATTAGTATTATACTATATACTGCAATATTAGTCAATATTGCAGTATATAATACCTACCTCAAAATAATATCTATTTTTTTAATTTTTACAATGGTCTCTTTAAAATAAGAGAGAAACAGAAAAAAGCTGCGATGTCATCAACTTGTCAAAAACAATGCAAGGAGCAGCCCAGGCATCGTTTTTATAGCTAGACAGTATTTGTAATCAATTTGTTGCTTTTTTGTCCCCAAGGATACACGCTTAGTATTGGAGAATACAGTTAATGCAGAAAAATGAGAGTCTTGGTAACGCCTCATGGAATAAATGTAAAATATTCCCTCACGGAGTTTGAAAACCTTTTGCCCATAGAGTTAAAACATCTAAAGCTACATCAAAATATCTAACGTGTGCAGCAGAAGATCGTCTAGAAATAATGGAGACAAGCTGGGGGACACTGCATCCAGTGATTTAGTTTTAGCACATTAGGAATGTACTGATACACTTGACTCCAAACTCAGTACAGCAGGTCTACAATAATAACAATATGTATTTTTTTTTTTTAGCATAAAATACTTATTTTAAAATAAATGCCCCTACAAAACATATACACTAAACTTAGGTGGTAACACAATGTATTTTAAATAAATGCATTTGTAAAAAAAAAAAAAAAAACAATATACGACAATATAATAGAAGAACATATCGCCATATACTTTTGTTGAAATAACAATAGAAAAAGTTAAAATTTAAAGCAGACAATATTTACACAACACTGAATCACAATGTTAAGTCAATGTAGAGATGTCAGGTGAAAAGTTAGAATTAAATCTAAAATCAAAGGAAGCTGTGGAAGAAAAAGTTTACATTTCCACATATGCATACATTTCCAAAGTGCAGCTAACCAAGCAGTAATCTGGGGGCTGCAGCACCTGAATCGTAGCTGCATTTAACATAATTGTTTTGAACCGACTCAGATTTCACGCTGCGTGGGAATTCATTGTCATGGTTCACCATCGTGTCAACCCAAGTAATTATTTCAGACTGCCACGCTTTATACAAAGCGAGCATAAAATAAAACACTGCATATACACATTTCTATAAGTTAACCTTCACATTTGGGAGATAAAAAAAAAAACTAGATAAAAAAATTTGATGCAGCCAGAAAACATAAAAAAGTTTAAATGGAAAAATCAAAGCAGAAAGTTTTATTCTCTTAACTTTTGTACAGTTCTCAAATGCATCTCTGTGCAACTTCATTTTGAGAGGTTGTTTTTTTGTTTGTTTTTTCAGGTTGTTGATGTGTCAGTTTAGGCACTTGGCTCTGTGCACTGAATTTACCTTTGAGCGTGTTTATGTTGACACTTGTTATTCACATGTTCCTTGTGTTCTCTTTATGATTACAATTGTTTTATTATTTCTCCACTCAAATCCTCCAGTCAGTGCTTAACCCCAGCTTTTCCACATTATGTTAATCACTCTCACCTGATCCAGTAATCACCGCTTGTGTGCACATACATGATTTACTCTCTCTGTATTCAGCATTTTCTGTATTCTCCTATTTTAAGAAAAAAAATCTTACATGTGACTTTGTCTGCCGAGTGCTCACTTTCGGGAAATCTCTCTACACACGTATAAGAAACTAGTTATGTGCCAGATGTCGTCATGAATGTCACTAACAGTGCACAGAGAGGGGTGAGGCAGAGTTTGCGCTGCACTCCTTCATGCTCCATCCGGCAGGAAAAAATTTAATTCCTTTGTTTCCTAATTAAAAGGAGTGAAAACTGAAAGAACATAATCAGAAATGTTTGCCATTTCAAACCAAAACATTCTGAAACCTTGGCATATCTTGACACCAGGAATGACCCATGAATACTGTTGCTGCTCTCACAGAAATGAAAGCCTAATTCTATTTACAACCACTTTGCTCTGAATTAGATTTTCATGAGTTGGAATTTAATCGACCTGAAGGCCCTCAGCTATCCAGCACGCACTGTTCTTATCTTGTCTGAAAGAGCACAATAAGCGAGTTTATTCTTAGATAAAAGACAAATACAAGGTTACCTCACATGTTTGCACTCAATATTACACACTTAAAAAATGTTCTGACATATAAAACACTACAGGCTAAAGTACAATTTTAAGGTCTCTATGGTAAAAATTTTATTTTTAAGTGAGGGATTCTTTTTTCTTCTTTAATAAACTGTATCATGAATTAAAATAAATACATGAGTAATTATGAATTACTCTGTTTGAAAACAAAAGGGCCTAATGAGTATGCTAGCAAACAAAAAAAACACAAAACTGTCAGGAACCATTTCCTCAGGACAAATGACATAACTGCACATAGCTACAACTTGTGTGTGTGTGTGTGTGTGTGTGTGTGTGTGTGTGTGTGTGTGTGTGTGTGTGTGTGTGTGTGTGTGTGTGTGTGTGTGTGTGTGTGGGTGGTGGGTGGGTGGGTGGGTGGGTGGGTGTGTGTGTGTGTGTGTGTGTGTTGTGCTGAAAGATTGCTGCCCCCTGGGGTCCTCCTGCATTATTAATACAGGGATCTGTAGTTAGGGCTCTTACTCAAAAATAATATCGCTGCCTACTGCATGCAATTTCAACATGATTTCTGCTCTGCACGCCCACCGACCAATTAATCTCTCTCATTGTTATTATTCTGCTGTAAATCCATAGAAAAAAACTGGCATTGACTTTTCTTAAAAGTTAATAATCACATATCAGGGGAGCTTTTAGGTAAAAGCTGCAATAAGGGGAATTGGACAAAATCCCAGTCACCATTAAAGTGGGTTGTGACAAATTGGCCTGGATGACCAATTAGTGTCTGGGCTACATCAGCTTGCCAAACATGTTCCTTTATAATTTCATCTCCTCTGACATCCATACATCCATTTTTCCAGTGGCTTTTCTGGGCTTGTCATTGACTACATACTGTTGACCAGTTAGGTGGAAAGAGACATACAGTAGGAGAGGGACACTGTTGTTGTTGTTGTTAGTTTCACAAATGTCAGAGAGTCTGCAGGTTTTGGGTTAGTCACCATCCAGTGCAGTGCACGGGGTAGATAATCAGTCATGTCAGCCATTAGTTACACATAAACTGAGTATATTTGAGACAGCAGCCTACGCGTTCGGTGGCATTGACTCTGCAAGGAGAAGGAGCTGAACGAGGTGTCAAAACAACTTCACTCAGCCTTGGGCAAATACCCGGAGGATAAGCCATTTCAGCAGTTATTTATGCTAGTTTAGAGCCCCAATAACCAACGACAATATATTATAACAATATGTAAGCAAAAAGGGGGGCTGTTAAAATCTGTTGTCCAGCTCTTACCTAAACAATGTTTTGTTGGTCAAGTGACATGGATCTATCATTGCAAACCCCAATTTTCAAAATATAATGTAAAACCTAAACTTAGTAACTTCACATTTCTATATGAAGTAATGTTTTATGGAAACTGAAAGTGATGTAAAGATTTCTTAAGTAGTTTTTGAAATTTGGATGATTCAAGTTGTTTTAATATCTAGATATTCTTTGCTTGATTTTTAAAAAATATTCTGTACAGTTGTCTGTTTTTCTTATTTCAATTGATCAATTCCTTGATTAGTGCACTAGGTTCTAACTTATAAAATATCTCTGTCCCTCATTTACTACACTTGACTGAGGATTTCTTCTTGGTTGCTAATAAGTCCTTGCCTTTCTTATATTGTGTGAATATACACACTTAAAATGAAAGTCTCACTTTCATTCCTGTCATGCTCAGCAGATTAATTAAATTCTGTTTTCTCTTGATTTCCTGAAAGTGCAATGCCTTTTGTTTTATTAATAAAACCTTATTAGTTTTTTTTACTTGACAACCTCCAGACTCCCAGTTTGTGTTTATGTCCAATGTGTCCCTTTCCCTTCTAAGGTTTAACACAACATTTCATCATTTGACCATTTCTGCTCCTTACCAGGTATTAACTTTAGTTGGAGAAAAACTATGTCCAATAAATAAAAGATGTAAGTCCAACTATGGTAATAAGTAGCGTTGGACTGAAAAGTAGATTGTATAATTGATTAGCATGCAAGCCTTTCAACCAGGAGTTGGCTAATTGCTGTGGCTGCTGTTTTGGTGGGAACATATGGGAGAAGAAACAGGGTCTGGAGACTGAAGCTCCAAGGAGAAGCTTTGGGTAACCATCCTCTGCCAATCACGTTTCTGTCAGAGGCAGTTGTGACACATAACACAAAATGGGCTCATTTTGTGTTATATGTGTGTGTCTTAACACTCTTAATGATCTCCATGAACTTAAATTTTAAACTTGGGTTGAATGTGTGAAACAATTCTCCATATTGACTTCAGAAGAGAGATTTCAGAAGGGTGATGGTGTGGGACTGCTCTGCTTCATCAGGGGCATTGGGTATTTGCCATAATTGGTAGAACACTGAGTTTTGCTTTCTATCTGAAAATCACTGGGTTATTCATCTAAATTTCAATATACAAAATTACTCCTACAAGTTCTTCTATCAATGACTCAAGAGCACAAACTAATGATTTTGGTGTGGTCTAGTCAAAGTCTAGACTTAAATCTGATTGAGACTTTATGAAATGACTTTCATGACAAAACCTTTCAGTGTGGCTAAGTTAAAGTTTTTCAACAAAGAAGAGAAGGTGGATCTTCTTATTAGCTCCAGACTGATCAATTACTGCAAATGCCTGACAGCAGTTGTTGCTGGTAAGGTTGGAAAAACCATTAGAAGGTTTCGGAGTGATCAGTTCCTTGCATATGGTTCAGATGTTTTCTAAATAACCAACACAAAATTAATAAAATCATCCCTTAAAAACGGCATTTAATATTTACTTGAGTAATCTATGTCTTACTTTGAAAGTTAATTCATGTTCTTGAGAAAATCAAAAGCACAAAAAACTGAAGACATTCTTGGATAACTATGTTGAAAGAGATTTGTAATGCTGCTAGGAAAGTCACTATAGTCTCATTTCTTTCAGGCAGACAAGAGGATTTTGACAAAATATCTGAATTTCAAGACTGCAAAAAGTGAGTTAGGTAAAAAAAAAAAGAATCACAACATTTATGAAGGCCATGTTGTGGTTTATTGCTACACAATATATATTTCCTTTACTAATGAAATCCAGAAAAAGTATAATAGTGAAACTACATTGTCTAGAAAAACTCAAAACAGACATTAAAAGTATGCAACATAACTAAGTCAATAGTTAGTACTCCAATGAATTCAAATGGTAAGTTGAAGGACAAAAATCAAAATTAAAAAAAGCATAGATCAATCTTTCATCAGCCACAAACACAAAATCCACTCTAAATAATGTCATGAGCCTGTTTCCACCAAATTTCTATAGCTTCTCTCCTCACCCGGCCCGTCAAAACTCATTAGGCTCTCAGGATGGCTAATGTGTTTGGACTTTCATTTGGATTTGTGACAAACATACACCCGATCCATTGTGACAGAGTAATAAAACATGGACAAAAAAGGCTCCAATTAGGCCTATAATCAATGGAGATGAGCAATTAATGCCTGGTAGGAAGCAGGGATTCTGACTTTTAATCAGGTCTGTGTTTTCTGTGCCCATAAACCTGATAGTGGTCCATAATGAATAATGCATGCGCCGTTAATGGTAATGTTCCCATCACCCACCTTGATGATACGCCTGAGCACAACGGATCACATTACACTTGGTTGTTCAGATATCACAATAAAATTGATGGTAAGGTCTCTCTACATCACTGCATTGCTGGCACTACTGTAACCCTGATGAATTTTATAGCTCGTTATTCATTTGAATTTTTAGGATTAGCTATTTCAGGCGCTTAGTAGCTTGGTTTCATTTAAATAGAAATGGCTAGGCTGTATAAACAACACAATTTAGTGACGCTAATATTACCACCTTTATAATGGCTTAAGCATTTCAAAATGGATTTTATTTACATTTTATTTGATGGTCCAGCAGAAGTAGAGCATAACTGAGAAGTGGAATTACACGTGATGTAGGACATATTATGAAAATGTTTTACAAATAAAAATCTGGCTTATTCCTCATTATTTACTCTCAAGTACCCAAAATAAAATCTAGTCCATCTAAATTCTGACAGCAGTATCCCGAGTAGTGAATGTAGTCCACCTGTATTTATTTTATTTTCAACATAAATTCAGAATATTAATGAAATTAATTAATAAATATTAATGACCATATTGTATCATGAATGGATAAGGCTATGAAGAGTATTTAAACAAGGATAAAGTTACAAAAATATTCCATGTAGAGCACTGCACACTGTCACAAATACAACCTACTATATGTCATGATGATATTCCTTATCTGAAATGCTGGTAACACAGAAGGAGCTGTAGTTATCTAGTTATCTACACCCCAAGTAAAAAGATTTTACTTGGGGTGTTCCCATGCTCCCTTTAGTTATGGCCTTCATGGAGAGGCAAAAAGAAATAAACTAAAAGAAAACCTGAAGTAGTTCTGGTTGCCACAAGCAATGCAGAGGACACAGCAGACATGTAAACACAGGGCCTCTAGTGAGGTGAAAACATTTCAAACAAAACCAATGCAAAAATCAGTTCAAAGATTTAAATACTTTTGCTAGTTACTGCAGATTAAAGTATTTCAGAGAAATCTCAATTCTATTCTAAGTGTTGTTTATGCAGTAATCTCTCAAATTTAGCTAAAAGCAGGAAGGTTAATCAAAAAAGGACAGCACATTTTAAAATGTACTGGTTCCTGAGCACTACCTTCAACGCTGACACAGGTCACATTCTGTACTCTGGTTCCCAGACCACATGAGCCATTGGTGGGAACGCATTTTCCGTTTTGTTGGATTTGCCACAGGTAGCAGGCAGGATCCTCACAGGGGATGAACTCCATCAGATGAGGGCAAGTCCCCAGAGTATCACTGGACTCCCACAACACCTCTCGCTTTCTTTGTCTGAAACCTGACAGGGCAGACACCAAAGAAAAGTACAGAAAATGTGAAAGAAATTACAGACTTTTTTGTGTTCAGAATTAGGCATGTTGCCTTTCTTATAGATTAAGCAGCAAACAATAATTCTCTATATTTTCACATTGATATATTTGAACAAGAATAGCAAGTTTGTTTTTGTATAAGCTAAGAGTGAGGCAGGGATAATAGCTGTCATGTTTCTCAGAAAAAATAAAATAAATGCGAATACAAAATAGGAGTTTTAAAGAAAAGAGGGAAGAGATGCAATTTTGTTTTACCCTCAATGTCAGTCCAGATATCTGGAGTATCGTCCATTCAGATCACTGTAGGTTCAACAATTCTTAGGAAATAATCAAATAATAAAACATATACATATCAGTCTGCAACTGTAAACTTTCTCACCTTTCTTTGGAACCAAGTTAGCAGAGCAAAAGAGATTGTTTTACATCTATTTATCATGCTGTAAACTCAGGAACAGGAGCTCTTTTATCAGCAGACTGTGAAATTAAAAGTAGTTTTGAAAAAGAGCAAGGATGATCATCCAAGACAGACAGACAGCCACACAGAAATCGATCTCCTGTAGAGGACGTCGCTGCATGTGGGATTTTGCCCTCGGTATACCCTCTCGGCGTCAAGGCAACTCCGACTCCACTGTTTATATTTACAGAAAAACTGTTGAGTCTTTTATTCGTGTACAATGAAATGTTGATGCTTCAGTAAAGAGACTGCAGAAGCAGTATTTCCAAGGCACGAGGGAGGAAGACGGTGAAAATAATAATATAGCAGAGACGACGATGTGACAAAACCCAAGAAGCAGGGTTAAGTTACAGTGATTGTATATTTTTAAAAATAGTATCTGTCTGTCCAATTAGAGTCACATTTTTTTTTTTTTTTTATCACTGCCAGTGTTTTTTAAACTAAGTCGTGAAGGTAATTTTAAACAGCAAGAGTCATTTTCCATAAATATATACTGCAACACATAGCATATTCATGTACATCTTGGTCTAACAGCTAATGGGTTCGTGAAATTTACTGAATTAAAACCAAACCTATTAATTAAACCAAAGCAAAAGAATTAAAACCAAAGAATCCTATAATGAATTGATCTGTTGGAGCAGCATGAAGAGGCAGAACTGCAGCAGTTACAACTCAAGAAACAGGACAGACTGCAGCTTCCTGGATGTAATTGGTGATTGAAACAAGAGCTACACAATTATGATATTGCATAACCATAAAACACATGGTTAATATGGGAGAGTAAACAATCCTGGTGGGCACATCACTTGAAGAAACCTTTGCAAACCCAGAATTCCTTCCTCTAAGATTCAACAAGAGCAGACAATTTAATCATTAATGTAAAATGTTTTACATTAAAAATAAATGTTATGTATATATATTATTTAAACTATTAGAGATATCATCCACTTTTTTCAAGAAATTTGGTGTTTGATCCTTATGTGCAGGAAGCTAAACACCAGAGAAGGTGTTGAGTCCATGTGAATTAACATCTACTTATGTTCCAGGGCCAAATCAGCCAAATAATGGCTGAAAGAAAATTTCCCAATTTGGTCAACTGCCTACTACCATGAGGTATATAAATGCCTTGAACATTTTCTTTAACATTTACAAATCAAAAATGATCCTTAATCCCTGGCTGCTCTGTTTTTTATCTTCATGATGTTGTTTGTTCAGAAATGTTCAGTAAAACACATCAGAAAACACTTTAATTATAAGGATAAAAACATACACAAAAGAAGCCCATTGACTAGCAAGGTAACATCTGAAGGGAATAGGTTTTGGTGGACTCAGTAATCGATCTCCTGTATGAGAGTAAAGGGAAATACAAAATGTTAGGCCACACTTTTCAGATTTGCATTTGTGAAAAACTAAAATAAAAACATTTTATATATTTCTTCAGACTAGCATTCATGACCTGCTTTTTATTTGTTCTATCATAGTAAAATCCTAACAAATATTCTGAAGTTTATGGCAGTTGTACAATCAAATGTGCAGAAAATTCAAAAGGTATGAAAACTTTTGTGATCCACTAATTATATTAATATTAAGTTGCCAGACTTTGACAGCGCCGTTGAGATCCAGATCACGTTTCTCTTTTTGCGTTTTTGTAGTTAACATAGCTGTCAGTGACAGCCATGTTTGTGACAAGTTGTCACAGACGTCACAATCTTATCAACAAATTACTTCACCAATATGTCTTTTTCCTGTGATTCTTAGTTCTGCGACGTAACATCTGTCGCTGTTGGCACCATAAAACCTCACAGAGAAAATCTGTTAAATATGAATGAGCAAAAATTTGACTCGAGGAATGGCAAGCACATCAAAAAGATGGGCCAAACAATAAAACGCCTTAAAAATTATTGAATGACACCAACAGGGTGAGTTATTATCTTTACGCCACTTACATAGTCATCAACATCACCTTAGTGTACTGTAATGCCATTCATATTCCTCACTCTACAATATTGACTTTCCTAAAGATGGATTGTTCATAAAATATTCATTTTTCCATGAAAAGGTCTCTATTGATTGGACATGTTCACATTTATAGTTTGAATTGACTTCTAAGCTTTTCCAATTCCCTGGTGACAGTACAATGTTCTTGCTGGCAAAAAGCTGACAGATAAAATGGTTATTTCTAAGTCCTAGTCTCTCCCTTAGTGACACTTGAGCAGCAGACATGAGTACGTCTTTTCGAGTCATACTCATTTTATTTTACTCTGACTCCAGCTACCAGTTGAAGGGCCCCAAAATCTTTTATTTCAGGGGTAGCACCTTTTAACCCTTAGAATACCAGTCTGTAAATTACAGACATCTGTCTCTCATCTACTGAAGTGAAGCTTGGGTATAGGAGCCTGATCTGAGCGCAGCGCCTTCTTGAACCTCAAAGACACTCTGGATCGATTGCAGAATAGCCCAGAGCACTTACCGCTACTCGGATCCAAGCCACAAGAAATGATTTGGCTAGGATATTAATAATTTAAAGGTTTCTTGTACATACCAAGTTTATTTCAGAAAAACAAGGACCGAAACTGTGGTTTCTTTTTTTTTTTCTCTCTCTCTCTTTCTTAATGCACTCTTTTTAAGAAATATACCTTTCCTCCAGCTGTCTAAGTTCCGGTAGAGACATTGCTGAAAATTCATCCAGTAGTCTCCCGTGCTCAATTGATTTTCCTGTACAGCTGCAAAGACAATAGGCCAAGAAAACACAAAAAGACGTGAAGCTACAGCAAGGCAATCTAAATGTGTAATTTTCCCATGAGCGAAGCTGCTTGGCTCCTACACCCAGAAACAGGAATATAACGGGAATTTTGGTTAGAGTCGGATCAGTTTACTCTAAAGAATAATGGCAGTCCAATCAGAACAAGGAATTCTAAGAAGCTCTGGGGCAATAAGCAAATGGATCACAACAATACTCAACTACTCAATATCTTCTCAATGTATCACAGGCAGCACTGCTCACTGTGGATGACTCTGTTGCTTTACACTCTGCCTGCCATGTGCTCTGAGTCTTTATAAATACTATTAAAGACAGCTTGCCTCAGGAGAGGACCCAACAAAACGGCAGACGCTTTTGTTTTTTGCTCCTCCAAATATATGAAGGACCCAGTGTGTGAGTGGACTCAGCTTATCCAAAAGAGATTTGGTGTTCTCAGAGAACAGACGCTGACCTGAACGATCTGCAATGCCGTCGCTCCCCGGGGGGTTTTCATGCACATTTACTCACCGCGGCAACAAGGTCATGATGCCCCTTTAACACAGCTCTAACACAATAACGCCTCAAACATGCTTCATTCAATCAAATACCACATGGTTTCACCTGCGTGAAAGGACAGGTAGGCTGAGAGGTCTCATTGTTTTTCATTGCTTCAGTGGTTGATCTACTGGACACTGCGAAAATATTTATATCCCTTTTCCACAGTTTTTCACATTACATGGGGATTTTCTGAATTATAAACATTTATTTTTAGAATCACTGTGAATGTACCTCCATCTATCTTTCCCTCCAGTCGGCCTGTAATCCCTGTTCTTATGGAAGAAACTTGTTTTTGGTCTCTCCAAACTAGATCATCTTCTTCTACATATTTGCTGCAGCCTTTCCTTCTTTTCTTGTTTTGGAAGACGGATAGTTTTATGTAGCGCAACCAAAACTTGCTCTACATTTTTCCATAATTTCATTCCTGACTGAGTAACTTTTTGTCTCCCAGGTGTTTCTTGGTCTTCATGTTTGCTAACAAAAACTCATGGACTCACCTCTGAGGCATTCACAGGATAATTGTATTTATACTGGGGTTAAATTACCCAAAGACGATCGAGAGGTGATTTAAATTTAACTTCTGGGGCAACCAGTTGCAATTGAATTTTAAGGGTGTCAGATTAAAGTGAGCTGAATAAAAATCACCATAAACTTCACTCATTTGTTTACATTGAGTAAACAGTTGTAACCTGGAAAAATGTGAAAAGATTCAAGTGGTGCAACTATTTTTGTAAGACACTGCATGTTGTGCCACATATCAACAGACTTATTTTGACCTCCGGCTGAAACATGTTTATAATTCTGACCCTGAGGTTTCTGTTAGGTCCATTCGGTTAAAATTCTAACTCATGACCCTATATTCCCCTATCTGACTAGTTCAGCACTGGCAAACAAATCTGGAGAAAAGAAACATCACACATGAGTAGCAACTTTCAGGGTTATGCAGTCCCATGTTGATCATACTGAAAATGCTTCGGCAACAGTTTGCATTGATTTTACACACACTGTCTACAATACAACACAAAGTTAAGTGTTGCTGACTGAGAGACTTAGGATTTTTACCTCATGCACATCTGTTTAAATAAAGATTCAGATTCTAAGGGATGTTGCAGCTGTTTGTCTTTTGGGTATTTTGCTAAACTTTTTCTATGTGCTTTTTGCATTCATGTGGTGGGAAATAATGGATGTTAAGAAATAATTTACAAAATCCTCACTTGCACAATTCACAATATACCTAAAAATAGCTTTAAATTAAATAAAACTGAAATGGTTAAACAATATGTAAAAAAAAAAAAACACATTGTTTATAAAGTTACATACTGCAGCTTTTAATTATTGAGGAAGTGACACTGATAAGGCATTAAAAATAAATTTTCCATAGTTAATATTTGTGGTTACTTACTCTGTGGTTGGATTCATTTTAAGCAGTTGGCTCAAAATGATTGTGGTCTTATATATAGACAAATAATAAGACAAATAATCTTTAAAAAATAACGGTTCTCTGCGTCCTCCCTGTTCTGCAGAATTACGCAGCTCAGTCAGAAACAACCAATCAGAACCAGCATTACTCAGCAAGCCAAGCTATCAGGAAGTTTTGATTTAGTAACTCTGGATTGTTTATTTTAATTCAACCTGCATTTGACTTTAAATGAATGTCTCCTTTATTACTTGACATTATTTGATATAAGCAGATTTATTTAACTAATAATCCATGGAACTGATAGTCTTACTGTTAAATATTATTTAACTGATTACAGGTTTTTCAGTTGTCCTTTAGACTGAATAGCTGCTGTATTCTGCCTGCAAGTATTTTGCATGGGTATGTCTAAATTAGGTGAATTTATTGTCAGACAATTTTAGAATTTTGCCAGATGACTTAGCATAATTTCTATCTACAATGAAAAATGTACAGTCAATCCAGGCAATTGGCAGAGATCGGCCTCATGGGTGATCGGTATTGGCAGCAAAAAACCTGATCGAAGGATCCCTAGTCAGAATGCATCTTCTTGTTCTGTGATTTAATGAACAATGTTAAACTAAAAAGAAAAAACTAAGTACATATGGTGGCTGCAAAGCTAAATACACATTTACAGAATCAGCGTTGGAAATATCTCAGCACCAAGTTGCACTGCTGGAGACAGGAGAAAACTGAATAAAAATACATAATAAAAAGTTGAAAAAAATTTGAACATTATATGTTAGTGAGGCCAGCAAAAAAACAAATTGCAAATGCATTTTTGGAAACAGGTGGTGAAAAAAATGCTAGTGATAAGACAGAAAGTAAAAAAAAGATGTTTACCAGGACGAGAAGACTGACAATGGGGAAAATGAAATGGAAAATCTAAGATCAGAGAAACAAAATTCTCAAATAAAATCCCGAAACATGAAAATGTAATTGAGAGTCAAGGGCATCAAATGAATAATAATCTCTTCTTAAACATAACGAGAATAAGATAATGTAAAACAAACAGCATATTCCATAAGCATTTGCCACTGCACTCCCAATTAAGGATGAAGACAGTAATGTCATCCTCTACTGCAGACTGAACATTTCCAAAAAATTAAACCTTTAATTTCAGCATATTTATACTACATTTATGCTATCTGTTTATATGTTATAATATATGGCATAAAATTCATGTTATATACGATTGTATGTATACACGTACAAAGACTTGAAAAAGTTTAATATTTTAGTTGTTCAATTTATAAAATGACACAGAATTATAAATCTGAAACAAACACACAAAATGTAAGGAATAAATAGACCAAAATTTCGCTATTTATTGTAAGCCTGAGGAAGGATATCTAAAAACCTTTCCTGAAGTACATTTTAAATGTCACTCTGCCAAATATTAAAGAAACATAGAACATTTGAGAGTCTGACTTAGAAGAAAGTTTTGAAAAATTCTCGAAAGTCTTATTAATGTTATTCTGGCACTTAGAAAAAGAGTAAATAATTTGGGTAATTTTTTCTGACCTAAATCAGAAAATGTTTAAGTTGATTTAAAGTCACACGAAAATAAAAGGTTGTGTGTCTTTTAAATATCTGATTAGACAACTAGAAAATACTTTTGCAAACTTATAAACATGCACTTTTATGGATTCTGTCTGAAGTGCATGTTTATTGTCCTCAAGGAGTTGAATTCTAACTATTCCTTTGAAAGAAATATTTGGCAATAATACAGTTGGAAATGCTGACACAAACAACTACCACATACATCTGATGTAAAATCATTAAAGTGCCATTATCTGTTAAATTTGGACTTTTTTCCCCCCAAACTTTTGAAAAGCAAAGACTTGTCTGTTTTCATGTCATCCTTTGTTATTTTTTGACATACCTTTCTTCCCTTGAGGTTCTTTGCAGTTTTCATGAAGGCAGGCACTCCAGGGCGACCACTGGGACAGTAAGCACTGATGCTGGCAAGGAATGGAGCAGTTCTGAGCAGCCAATGGAGGATCATCTCCATCACACAGCCAAGCATTCACAGGCCTGGACACTGAACAAACAAACAGAAAAAAGCACACACAGAAGAATAAACCATGCTCAAGCAAAACAATACACATTCAGCTGTATAGTGTGTGAGTGATAGAAACTGCTGCCAGGTAATATGTTTAGGATTGGACTCGTAACAGACATGTGGGCCAGGCGATGCGGAGAGAGAGGAGAAGATCAAGAAGCCTCACTGCTGTCAGATTGAAAAGTATTGATTTAATTCAGTTCTGACTTGGAAGACAGGATAGCATTTATTGTTAAAGGCCTCCACTTCAAACTTTGCACACTGTGGCGAGAAGTTTAGCAAAGCTTATTAGAGAGTAACAAGTGAAAAAGCCAGAGGGGATCGCTCATCTGATGTCAGACTCAAGAGAACATAAAATATAGGGCAGTTGGAAACTGATGTGAAAACTAGGAGGTGTTGAATCAAGACATAGTGAAACCATTTTATGACTAAGGAAGGCTGGCATCATCCAAAGATCATAGACAGCTGAACCACCTGTAATGAGCACTGACACGGGTCTCTGTCTCAGAGTAAAGGGTACTTTTCTGCCTGTCCACAGCAGAGAGATTTCAATCTGATGTTCCATGTTTATGCAGCTTCAAACATCATTGTGAGGCAAATTTCCATTTAAATGAGAGCCCATAGAAAAATGACTTAATGTCCACGGAGCATTTGGCCATTTTACCCACCATAATTTACATGGTGTTAGATCTTCTATGTGAAAATGACATGCTTGATTAAACACAGAGATAAAGTGCAGCAAAGGTCTTTTCACTTTTCATCTAAAAGCACATGAACTGAAGGCTTTCTGAGCCAAATTATAAGGCCTTCTTGTAACAAATCTATCACTTAAGGCGTTCATATTTCTCTCCAACATCAGTCTGGCTTCTCTCAAACACAAGGGCAAAATATAGATGTCTTAATTAGCATGCGTTTACTGACAAATTGTTTTATTCGTTATGCAGGAAAGAGTGTGATTTGCAAAAAGAATAAAGAACATCTCAACTGATAGTCATTAAAAGGGGCCCACTCTGCTTAATTAAAATGATAAATGGTTAATACTTAATTATGCCATATCCTGACTCTCCTTTTTTAATTATTCTTTTTTTTCTCAATTTGTGGTCATTTATAAACTTTAGAATTAACTACATACTTTCTATATGTGTATTGTATGATACAAACTAGGGTAGATATTGTTGAATCGTAACCATTGTTTACAATTCAACAATAGTTACACAAAAAATGCTTACAATGGTCTAATTTATTTAAGTCAGAACAGCAATACTTCAATACTTATTCCTTCAACATCATCAGATGTGTTTACTCTGCAGTCCAGGCTTACAATTGATACTCTAATCCAATAAAACAATTTAGATCTCTAAAGTATTTAAGTAAGCAATAATAAAAGCCTCTAATTGTTCCCAGAAATTCTGGGCAACAACTGAATAAACATTAGTGGCTGCTTTTAAATTTAATCACGTAATAATTTTTTAAGATGTTTGGTTCATTTCAACAGGCTTTGCCGCTGTGCATTCAGTTCATCAGTTTTCTATTAATCAATAGAAAACTGTAGTAAAGCACCAAAACTGTTAGGAGTTAATGGGTTAATGAACTTGCTCTGAAAAATGCAAAAACAGCAGCAGTGGCTTCTTTTATTACAACATATAAACAATGTAATTAAGGTGCATTTTATTTTCTAGCACGTGGAATTATATCTTCTTTCTTTTTTCTTTTATGACTATTACTTGGAAAGATATTTAAATAAGATTGAAGGTCTGGGAATTAAACTGTTAGACTAAAAATGATCTGTTTTATATGCAGAGCAGGGGACCCCCTGTTGTTCAGAGCCTTCACATGTGACAGCAAATCATACAATTAATAAATTGAAGCTTCTTCAAATTTGCATTAGGACACACTTTTTCTGTTGTTAGAAGGCATGTTTTCATGCACATAACTAAGATGATGCTCTGTTTCTATAATTCACATTGATGATGCAGTTCACAGCTTTAAGTTTGCATAAATGTCTGTTTCATGACAGTGAATATTTTTAGCCAATTTGTGCTCCTGGGAAGTACTGATTCAAAGAGGATGAAGCTATTTGTCTCACCTTCCTTTTTGTAATGTGCTGCTGAATCATCAGGTACTTGAACACAGTAGGTCTTCCTGGTCTGGACTCCACCTCCACACAGCAGACTGATGTTAGCCCGCCGTTGATCCTGCTGGCCCAGCAAGGGTTGAATGCGGCATTCACCCCAGTCAGTGGTCCTCCAGGTGTACCTTCGTAAACACAACAAAGTGGAAATACAACACCATGCAAAAGTGTTCATACCTCTTGAACTTTTTTATATATGTTCACTCTACAGCCACAAATATTAATGTAATATTTTGGGATTTTATGTAATATCGAACACGGAATAGTGCCTAATTGTCAAGTGGAAAAACAAGGACGCATCTCTTTTTATGGGTATCAGAGTCAAGGGGTCTGCCAGACCGTTCTTGCTGTCTTTCTCTCTTTCTTTTGGGAGAAGAAGCTGTTGACACCATATTTTGTTTTTCTTTAACTTCACAACTATATATATATATATATGTTGATCTTTTACACACACAAAAAAAAAATGCATTAAAGTGTAGGTTGAAATGAAGAAAAGCTTCAAGTGTCACAAACCATTTAGCAAAGGGCTGGATAAGTCTTAGGAAATTTACACCAGAGATGTTTTACATTTTGGTCTTTTAAAAGACCAAAACCAGTAAACAAAGATTTAAATGAATATGAATGAGAATAAACATTCATTATGAGGAGTTAACAACAAACAGTGTGCACACAGGCCTCTTTCAGTTAGTCAGAAGGAGGCTGAATATGTATTTTTTTGATTTCAGAACTTTTAAATAATTGTTTGGTTTTAACTATAAAATATGCAATGATGCAGAAAGCAATAATATTTCAGGAGATTACTGGAACAACAGCCCCTAGTAATCTATCAAATGCTTAATTTCCGTAATGAGTTTTTCCCTAATCATGTAAATCCCCAGCTCTCAGGCACTCCATGTAAATTTAAAGGGGGAAAAAACTAACTAGCAGAGAATGTAATTCTCCAATGAGTACTTTGTTCAGTGTTTGTTCTGTTAGCTAAAACCTATTCTAACCTCAGTGCAATGAGAATCAGGCAACTTCTCCCTCCAAGTCAAAATAACTCATCAGGTTAGTTCTTACTGTTACTAGTTAGAGATAAAAATAGTGGAGTGAATAAAACTGCAAGACTTACATATTTACTTCTAGTGATCTTTGTGTCAATAAAGTGTTCAAATGAACCCAGATGTAGTAGATGAAATAATACCAGCTATTTGATCTAAATATTGTAACCAGAACATCATAGATTAACAGAATTCTGGTTTCTGGGCACACTGAGCATAAAAAGAAACATTTATTTATGAATACCTGGGACATTTTGGAAGTAAATCGCCTATGATGTTGCAGGCTTCCTTTTCTTCAAGTGCAGGACATTGTTTTCCTTCACCATGTGGGATCTGTGTCATGATCCGTGTCCGGACGCGATACCCGGGAGACAGGTCGGTGGATCGGCAGGTCTTTGAGCAGAAACTCCACGATGACCAGTCAGAGGTTTGACAGTCTTTGGGCATCACGCATGCCTGGAAGGTCAGGGGGGAGGTGTCCCTGGTACATAAACTAAAGATTGAGAAGATTTCATTATCAAGTCTGCTTTGTCACATGACATAAAACCATTTTAACTTCTTTTACAGATTAGGCAGTGACAGACAATAAAGCAAATTCATGATCATGTTGTCTGCAATTTATTTTGTCTTCATTAAAGTGGCAGTATGTAACGTTTATTAAAGAAAAAAGCTTTTTTCATACTTGTTTAAACAGTCACTATGTCATGGCAGTAATTACAGCATAAAGTATTTCATTCAATTTACCTTGTTCCAGTCAAGCATAATAAATGTGGGTTAATAAAGCAAGAAAATTTGTGCTTGTTGATTATTTCTTTGTTGTAACAATACTTTTGATTTATTCCTTAAAGGTTCTAGCATGAAGGAAAGAATAAAAAAAATTAAGGATCATGAATTTAAATGCACATAGTAGCATTTAGTGTTTGCACAAGGACATGTAGCCCTTTTGCTATCGGCCTGCTGGTTACACTGAACTTTAATTATAGTGCAGACCCCAGGTGTAGTTGAGCTTTAAATGGATTAGTGGACATATCTCATTAAGTAACATTTAAAATACCACATGCCTTGAGAATCTACTGAATCTGTTTGTTATACTGAGACCCATGAAGAACAAATTAACTTTGAATCATCCATGTCTGTATTAAAAAAAAAATCTGTTATTTTACTTTCTGTAAAAAGTCCACCTTTTATAAAAAAATTCATTGAGCCTTCAAATTTGTGAAACAAGTTCATTTGTCATTAAATTCCTGTTTAAGATCTTTAATAAGGCAATACAAATAATGAAGTTATTAGGATGAAAGCACACAGCATATTTAATTTTATATTTTGTAATTAAACTGAAGCTAAAGTAAAATAAGACTTATTTGAAAAAAGTACAAATTCAAAAGCCCCAAATCTATCTAATAGCAAAGCAAGTTAATAGGTACTCCATTGCAAATGGTCCCTTTGTATAAAACTTGTAAATCCTCTGAACCATTGAGAAGGATGACCTATGATTTTAAACTGAATAAAATATATGCTTCCTTGGTTTCTTGGTCCTTGATTACCAAAAATCCACACTTAGGTTTAAAACTTCTCTTCCATAAACAGACAGAAAATGAGAAACATTCCATAGGGTATAAAACTACAACAGCAAAATGATCAAAAACAATAACTAGAATCAATAAGACAGTGTTAAACTGACAGTGTTTCTGATATGCTTGCCTGTATGGATGGTTGTCTGATATTGAGCTTAACAGCCACTCAAAGGTGTCACTATAAACCAAGAGGATGGTATTTAGTGACATTTAGAGAATACATCATAATATAGATGCAATGATTTTCTTCCCTTGATGATGGGGGCAAAAAAAAAATCATGACTGCGTGTGTGTGTGTGCTCCATTTTTGTGTTTAAACACAGTGCAGCAAAATCCATTCTTATCAAATCCAAATACCAGGGTCAGCTCAAATAGCAGTGACTGAGGGGAGTACCACTTAACATTTAACACAATAATACATCACCTCCCTGCCAACATGCCGCTGAAACACGAGCTCTCACATAATCTACTTATAATGGAATAAATAACAGACATCTGTAAAAAGCTTTTTGTGTTACTGAATCCACCCTTACATGAACAAAACAGCCAATGGAAACCATAAGGTATCACAAACATTGGAAAAACAAATTATTTAGTAAAGAAGTGGGTCAATGAGTATGTACATACAAAAGTGAGTAGATGAGAAGTAAATACGCTTCCAGGTTAAAAAATGTCATCATCTGAATTTAACTGAGCAATGAGGTATGAGTTTCCTGTTGGATAATTAATTGTTTGCGACTTCCAACAAACAATTATGATGCAATGAGTAGCTTTTCGTTTCTTAGCCCTGGTCAAGTTGTTTTGTTCGCATCAAGGTTCTCTTTAGTGTATTCACACCTGTACAAAACATCCAGATCAACAGGGGAGAAAGACTCCGGCCTGTTGAACGCAACCAAATGTTTTCCTTTTTTAAGAGGCATCTTTTTTTGGCCATCCAATGAATTTACAGAAGAGGTAATGCAAGGCTTTCTAGTTGTGTATGCATAAAATAATCTTACAACCGTTTTGCAAAACCTGTGGTTGCATCATTACAGCACAAATTATGTAATGAACTCAGGAGAAGCTTATTTAGATCTGTTGCATCGTTGCAGTAAAACATTTCAGTGTTTATCTTATTTGGCATATTCTGTAGTTATGCTCATTTTATGTGGCTGAGTGAACTGCTTTAACTCCACAACCTACCTGAGTAATGCTACCAACAATGGGCATTATACAACCAGTCTACCAATCTCCTGATGATGCTTGTCTCAAGGCTAACATCATCTCTACCAAGTTCAATGAACATGCCAATTTGTACCATAATGTGAAGGCCAGACTGATGCAACTCAGTACTAGCAAGGTGTACCTAATGAAGTAAAAAGTGAAAATTATGCTTTCAAATGTGTGAAAAATGCATTTATAACAAAAAAAACATAGTCTTCTTACCTGAGCATAACATTCTTGCCATCACTTCTCGCACAGCGAACATGTCGTGTCTGATATCCCACTTCCAGTTCCCACGACAAGGGGTATCTTATGTGGGCTTGACCATGGTGTTTGTGGTGGTACTGGTGATGACGGAATTGGTGGTGAGAATCCAACGTTTGTGTCGTGATAGAGTTGTTCTCATTGGAGCCAACACCAAAGTCCACTGTGGTCCTTCCATTTAAGACGGCATCCTTGTTAAGGGGTAGTCGGCACTTACTCCATACCCCTACTTTAAGGCTGTACTGGTACTCCCCCTCTGCAACAGGGCAGTCAACAGAGTTAGTACAAGTCCTGGTCTCGGTTAGATTAGGGCATGTCGCCCCTCCATACATTGGCGCGGCCAGGACATATCTAGTCCGATGCTGTAGACCAGCACTGCAAGTTTTACTGCAACTCGACCATGAGGTGAAGTCTGAAACCACACAGTCCTGAGGGCAGGGGATGAGGCAGGCCTGCTCCACAGGTGGTTTCTGGGAAAAGAACTCGCATATCCTTATGCTGACAGTGCTTCGATTCGAAGTGCGAACACAGTGGATATTGCGCCTCTGAATGCCATGCTGTGCTGTAATGCACTCAGTAGTCCTCATCTTGAGTTCATTAGAGAAGAAAGGGACAAGAACACAAGGCCCCCAGTCAGAAATCTCCCATTCAAAAAGATCTTGGTGCCAGTCGCAGACCTTAAAGCATTGCTTTTTGCTTTCCGGTTTTTCCACATGCTGGCAGTGCGAGTTATGGGTAGTCCAGCCCTCCATGTGGACACACCATATCGTCCTTGTCTGAACCCCACCTGAGCCACACACCTCCCCGATGCACTGACCCCACGGACCTACAAAAAAAGAAGACAGAGTACATTTTCATTAAAAATGTGTGCTTTGGGGTGGTGGAAGAGGAGAGCGCAATAATTTAAATTGCAGCTATCTGGAGGCTTGCAATCAAGCCGAATTCAAGGCCATTCACTTAACCTCAATGATTGCTTTATTCATGAACTGAAGAAGAAAGGAACAAAGGAACACAAAGTAATCAAACCGGTAGCAAACATCAATACAAAACTACAAGGTCAGTTTCTGAATTACAAGTACTTAATTTATTGGATCAGGTATTAGGTTTATTATATTTCTTAAGTGATATTGCCATATCCTTTCCACAAACCTCAATATATTTACAAACATGAAAACTATGTGTTTCTTTTAAAAACTAAATTTTAGCATGAAACTTTGTGGGTGTTGTGCATGGCACACAAGTAATTACAGCCTTGGGAGCAAGGGGCATTCAATAAAAGTGTGATCATAGTTCAGCATTTCTATCTAATATAGTTTAAAGCACGTCATTAGCGACTTCACCAGGTTAAAAGCTCTTGTATCTTTTCAATAAAGTTGCAAACCATAATGAAATGTTTTGCAGCTTTATGGGGTTGACAAATACAACTTTGTTAACAATTGTCAAATGAAAGAACTGTAATGGATTAATCCCAATTCTTTCTTTTTTAATTCACAAAAGTGTGGAGTGTGTGTGTAGTTGGTTTCTCTCACACATTTTCTTTAGGTTTTCTTCCAGAGCTATTATTTTTCTCTATATTGATCAGTTTGTTTGCATATAGCACAAGTTCAAACACTGCACAACTTTTATATAGGCAGGTGAATATTGAATTCATACATTCAGTATTATGATCTGTGTGTTAACATATAAACCAATTAGGCATAATATTGTGATAAAATGTCTAACTACATGTTGTCCCACTTTTTTTTGTCAAAAAAAATTCCCTGACTCCATCAGTTGAGTCAAGGAATAACCCTTGATGAAGTAATGACACCAAGATGTTTGCAGCAGATTTCAAATTTTCTCCAAATGCGAATCATCTTCTTTGTGCAACACATCTCTAAGGTGCTGAATTGGATTGAGATTTGGGGTATTTGGGGTAACATGGCCGAAAGCATCGTGCTGCCTCAGCTGGCTTACCTTCTTCCCATGGCACGTCCTGGGTCTACATGCTCCTCAGATAAACTAGATAATTCTTCTGACCAGGCCGCCTTCACATGCTCATGTCACAATTTTTGCCTCCTTTGAAGTTAGACACATCAGGATGAACTGCTTGACAGATCTGTGTAACCGGGTTCTGCTTCACACCACTGTACCAGGCCGACCCAAGTAACCCCTCGACTCTGCGTTGTGTAGATGTTTTAGTGAAGACCAGGAGTTCTGGGTGAACAGGCAGTTTATTTCCTGAATGAGAACAGATCGGGTTGGAATCAATGCAATGTTCAGCTTCCCTCAGCACACTCTCGTGCAGCTTCCATAGACTGGCACTGATTACAGTACATTAATATTTTAACATTCAATAAAAAATACAATAATAAATGATGTACCTGAATGAGAACAGATCGGGTTGGAATCAATGCAATGGTTCAGCTTCCCTCAGCACACTACAACAGAGCGTCATGTTGACTTTAACTTAGCACAGAAAGTGTTTTACAAAATATTAACAAACTAAAAGTGCAAAATTGATGCCAGGCACACAAATCATAAATAGTAGTTGCACACTATTGATGTAAGTTATTAAGAATGATACTTTGTGTTTCTAACACTTTTCCTTGCTGTGTGCTGAGGAATGAAACTCACCTCTCGTGCAGCTTCCATAGACTGGCACTGATTACAGAGGCCAGCAACATATAACCAGCCACACAGAGAGGAGGCGCTATTTCCCATTGCACTGATAATATAAAAGCAAGTGGGATTCTACAACATAAACTCTGTTACATTCCCCCCTGCTGAATTCCACTTGCAGCCCGAAATAAACAAATACAAATAAAAGAAACAACCCCATGAAAAAAAAAAATCAGATACACCATAGCAACCAGAAGAGAAAAACAAGCCGAATGAACATTTTAGACAATTCCCCAATAGCATACGCACAGCCATTGAGATGTGATAAATCTGCTCAGTAAATTACAGGCATTACAGTTACAAAGAAAATCCAGTCAGATGACTATTCTCAAAAGAACCAGTGTGAGAAGAAGTTGGCCAGACCCCTTCATCACACATATGGGAACAGAAAAAAAAAAACATGCCCATTACATATTTTGTCATATTATAACCATACGCCATCCTGAGACAGACAGATGAAAACAAAAGCACTTTGTTGGTTCTGAAACACCATTGTCCAATACAAGTACAATAAAACATCTATATCTTCACCCTAACAAGACTCAAACTTTTTCAGTTTTCTGATGCATTATCTCGATCAATCGAGAAACAGGCTTAAGTAACCTCCCCACCCTCGATCTTTTGGAAGTCTCCACCGCCCCGTCAACAACAGTACGGTCTTCAGCAGGAACAACAATTTCAGCTGAGACAGGAACTGCAACTAAAGGCAAACAGGCTGGATCATGTTCAGCAGTGGTTGCTGCCTCCAAAACAGAAGAGCATCTACCTGGATCCATGGACATGACCAGGTCAGATCGTTGCTCATCACTGGTTGAATTTTCTCGCACATCAGTGCCAATAGCGGGAGCACAGCCAGAGGCCAGTTGATGGCCCACATCAGTGCCTTCTGGGTCAATATCCTCAGTCAGCAGGGGCTCACTGGAGGCTACAGATGGCAAGTCAGAAACCCAAGCTCTTGTCCTGTATTCAGCAGATGTTACAGACATGTCAGACACAGCATCTCCATCGCCTTCAGCTATCAGCGAGCCAGATTCAGAAGACACATCCACCCCATCCTGCAGCGCCGCATCCTCGACAGGGAGAAAATTCACTGGCATTAACAGGTTACGATGGACAACCTTCACCTGCCCAGTGGAGACATCCTGCAGCTTAAAGGTGTGACTTGTGTCATTCTTGTCCACAACTGTATAGACTACATTCTCCCAGCGATCAGCCAGTTTTCTCTTGCCGCGTCCCTTTTTGTTGGCAAGAAGAACACGGTCTCCAATCTCCACTGGAGCTCCCCGGACTTTACGGTTGTAGAGATCCGTGTGGCGCTGCAATTGTTTGCTCGCCGTCCTTTGTGCAATGTCCATTGCCTCCTTGAGGTCTTTCCTAAGCGCCTGGACATATCGGTCATAATCTGTGACGTCATGATGGTCAATGACAGAGCCGAAGACTATATCAATTGGGAGTCTCGGCACCCTGCCAAACATCAACAGAAATGGAGCAAAGCCGGTTGTTTCATGGATAGTGCAGTTGTATGCAAAGGTGAGGGCTTTCAGCACATCAGGCCATTTTTGCTTAGCTTTCGGGGGCAAGGCACGAATCATATTGCCCAAGGTCCGGTTCATCCTTTCACAAGAACCATTACCCATTGGGTGATATGGAGTCGTGTGGGACTTCTGGACACCAGCAACACTCAGTAGTTCAGAGATAAGTGCACTCTCGAAATTTGCTCCCTGATCAGAGTGTAAGCGTGCTGGAAAGCCATAAACGCAGAAATAGTTATGCCACAGTTGGTGCGCCACTGCCTTGGCAGACTGGTTGGGGCACAAGAAGGCATGCGCCATCTTTGTAAAATGGTCTGTGACCACAAGCACATCCACTGATTTGTTAGCAGAGTCCTCAGCTGACCAAAAGTCTATGCAGACCAGTTCAAGGGGCTCTGATGTCTTGATGTTCTCTAAAGGTGCTCTAGCCTCTGGCTCAGGGGACTTGCTAACAATGCATCGCTTGCAGCACCGCACATACTCTGCCACATGTTTAGCCATGCCAGACCAGTGAAATCTTTGCCTAGCCAGATAAAGGGTTCGTTGCTGGCCTTGGTGACCTGCCTCATCATGGACTCCCTTCAGTACAGCAGGACGCAGGGCAGGTGGGACAACATACAGGTAGGTTTTTGTCTTTGTTACAGGATTCTTGGCGACTCGATACAATACACCGTTTTTCACAGTCAGCTTGTGCCATACCTTCAGAAGTCTGTTTGTTTCAGTCGCTTCTTTGGCACGCTCTCTCCTTGATGGTCTTCGCCCCCTTCCCACACATAAAAGATTGCTCTACACAGTGCATCATCACACCGCTGCTGCCTCACCAGCTCCTCATGCGATAAGATGTCAGAATCAATATGGTTTGATGTGAGCAAAGTCTGTGATAACTGAGGCAGAAGAAGAGCGTGTGGCCACACCTTGGACTCATGTTCTTTATGAACCTGAAGGACAGCTCCCACCTCAGAAGAGGTCAGCCCTCCTGCCTGTGCAACAACTGTGGACCGACAAACAATAGGTTGGTCATCACCTGAGAACTCTTCAGGTGAATGAACTGTCCATCTGAAGGCCTCCTGCACCCCCCCTGTGGCAACTGCCTCTGCTTCAGCCAGCAGATCATTGTATGGGACTCTTATTAAACGATGGGAGGCAGTGGGCTGCACAAAGGGTTCCCTGCTCAGCGCATCAGCAACTATATTTTTAGGACCAGGGATGTATTTTATATCAAACTGGAAAGGTGCCAGTTTCGCAATCCACCTTTGCTCGCATGCATCCAATCTTGGCTTAGACAGTATGTAAGTCAAAGGGTTATTATCGGTCCATACTGTAAACTGATGACCCCTCAGCCAATGATGAAACTTATCGCACACTGCCCACTTCAAGGCAAAGAACTCCAACCTATGTGCTGGATACTTGGACTGTGCGTGACTAAGTGTCTTACTAGCAAAGGCGATTGGCCTTGATGTTGAAGCTCCAGCCGGAACTTGTGACAACACAGCACCAAGGCCACCGCTGGAGGCATCAACTGATAGAAGGAAGGGCTCCTCAAAGTTCGGATGAGCCAGGAGCACTCGATCCAACAAAGCCTGCTTCAACTTGAAGAACGCCGTCCTGCAGTCATCTGTCCAATCCTCCTCAC